AACTCATTCATGGGCAGGTGGATGGCCTTGCTCCACCCACCTGCTGCCCTAAAGGTTACTGATGGCCACTCTGGCTATCACACTGGGCTCTGCTTTTCCTTGGAGGCATCTAAGAGTATTTGCTTTATCAGTTAATTGTGCCTTCCAATTGCAGGCTGCCTATGGTTGTAGGAGAAAAGGAACTCTGTCTCCAAAGCAGCAGCTATGGGAGTTTGTATCCTGCCTGTCCTGTTCCTTCATCCCTCCTTACTGGATCTACTGCCTTTGCGCTGGTCCCCTATTTCTGGGCTTCATTCACACCTGCTGTAGGCCCAGCTGAGGTCTGCAGAAGACAAGGGGCTCAGCCCCAGCCCAATCACAGGCAGTCTGAGGTCCCAGTGCAAGTGTGCCAGGTGGCGGTAAGGCCTGAGGGAAGGAACTAGGATTCCTCAGGGGTGGGGTGGGGTGAGTGAGGGTGCTGGCCTTGAAGGAGAAAGTAGGGTTACCCTGGGTACTGGGGACAACAGCAGAGGAAACACAGGCAGCCGGGCTGGCAATTGGCCTTCTTCCTCATACCCCTCCCCCTCCTGGCTCCACTTTCTCCCCCATATTGTCCCCCCTCCTCATTACTCCCTTCATTGCTCCACCGTCCTCTCAATGATGCTGTACCCGCAGCCTTACAGGAGTGGCCACAGTGCCCTGGGTGTCTGTTGCAGACCTTCCTCTCGTAGACCAGCATGCTGAGGCCAACTGCTTTTGTCTTTGTAACATTTGAGTGGCCAGTTTGGGGTGGGAATGTGACTGCCACCTGGGGGATTTGATCCTGGTGGGGAAGAGGGAAGATGATTTTGGAAGTACTGAAATGGGTGCCTCGGAGTATGAGCCAGCACATCCAGCGAGAGGAATATGGAAAGGCTTCTGTTTTTGAGGATACCTCAACAAATAGCATTTTAGTCCCAAATGGGCTATAGAAACCATGACCAAATAGCACATGTTTCTAGATGTGAACAGCCAGCCCACCTGAGAGAAATCTCCCTCAATCCGAGCTGTGTTCTTAGAATGAGGGAGGTATCAGGGTAGGGGTGGCTGCCTGAGTGGCCTCTGCATCTGTGTGTGAGTTTGGCCACCTAACCGGTGGCTGTGCTGAGGCACAGAGTTCCCAGGCAATTCCCCATCTCACAGTCCTGGCCTTTATGCACATACTCAATTTTGCACGGACTGTGCCAGGCTCCTGAAATGCTGTGCATTCTTCAGGGAAGAGGCACTGAATCTGTGCTTTATTTTCAATTTAACCTTTTCAAGAGAAATGCAGTGAAGGAGGTGGCAAAGACAGCTCCTAGCATCCATCTGCTGGTGGCAGGGCTCTGCATAAGTTGTGATAGGCCTCAGGTGGCAAGCCCTCGTGAGGACAGGGGTGCTATGGAGAGGCAGGATGCAGTTTCTCACTGCACCCTTCCACCGTGGGAAACATCTGTGTGAGAGGACCAGTGCCTGTCTGTGCTCAGCTTAACATGGGTCACATGAGCACCTGGAAATTCTGGCCCTGGCTGACTCCATCTGCATGATAACACACGGGAGACTGGAAGGTACTCCTCATTGCTGGCTGCTTGGTTTTTATTTGGAGCCAGGATTTAGTTGTGAGAGGACTGCAGGAATCATTGTACATCAGCTCCCTATTTCCTGAGTCAAGGGGAGTGGGTGATCTTTCATATTGATCTCATTTTCACATTTGCTACCATGTGTCTGTAGTATATTTAAAATCAGGAAGACACCCTTGACTCAAAAAGGAGCCCTTAGTCCATGTGGGGTACTTGCATGTTTGACCATTAGACATCCTTGGGCTTCTGAGCAGGCTGTGGCTTTCACACCCTCTTCCTCCCCCCTACCCCCAGAGTGCACACATGGCCCATGGGATTCCCTCTTGCTGAAATACAGACTCCTGCCATTGTATGGGGCACCTCTGGCTCCAGGAACTTGACTTCTGAATGGCCATACATCAGCATTAGTTATTTTGCAGAGTGCAGGCTCAGGGAGGTTGGTGTTTGAGCAGCGTTGTAAGCATCTCTGTGGTGGTGGTAACGTGCTTTAATGGAACCTGACTGCTACCATTTCTGATGACCAGTCGGTTATTGAGCCATAGGATTAATCAGAGGCATTCTGAGAGGGTTAGGTGACAGTTCTCTGGAGACTGGAAGGTCTCTGTTCTTGGCTAGGGCTGTGATGGGTACCTGTCCCCGATTTCAGTCCTTCCATCTCACAGGGTTTTAGTTCACTTTTGAGAGTAGACATTTGGCTGTGTTTCCACCTGAACATTCGTTTATTCAATTCTAAAGTCAGAGTCAAAGAAGCTGAATTCCAGGAACCTATACTTTGATTCTGAGCTCGGAATTGGCTTAAAGGTAAATTCAGTGTTAAACTTTCATTAAAGTGATGGGACTTATTGTTATTGAGGGTTCTTTTTCTTGGAAAAATTAAGTTGTCAACATCTTTTTTTAAATTGCTTATAATGGTTTCAATCTGCAAAAAATAGCTTATCAACAATTCTTTCTCTATAGAATATTTTTGACCATCACACATGTTAGCGAGATACTAGATGCAAATAACTCTATGGATTTTACCTAACATGAAAATTAGCACATCTCAGAGACCTCTTTTGTATTCTGAAGACTACACTTCATGATACATTCATTCATTCCCCATGGAGGGGCAGCTGAGGAGCCTTCCTGGGTACTGACAGGGAGTTCATATTTACTATTCCACAGAGTGATGCGTGAGTGGGGACAATAATGCAGATGATCCTTATGTTGTAGTTCACCCTTACTTCCCCTAAATCTGTGAGTCTAGAGGACCTCTTTGTCCCAAGATCAAGAGATAGGCCACAGATGTGATGTGACATTGTGAGGGAGGGCAGCCAGGTTCTGATTTGTTCCCACCACTTTTGTTTATGGGGCTTTAATATAAATCTAATATTGGGTAATGTCCATCCAAACGGGAGGTGGAATGAGATCATACAGTGTAGCTCTGGGACGTGCTGGGAAATCTGGGTCGTTGTTTGTACTTGCTGCTTTCATTAAAACTCCATGACAATATTGTTTTTCTGGGAGTTCTGTAATCCTGTGAATTTTAATCACCAGTATCTGTGGTGGTTGTTTCTAGTCTTTTTGTAAAGATAATTGAAAGATCTCTTTCCTTCTGGGTTCTGGCTCAAAAATAAATGTGTAGAGAGACTATTAAGCGAATTTCTGCCTGTTCCTCATTTAGAAATTAAATGAATACTGAGCTGCTGAAAGGGAACCCAGGCTATACTTAGGACCCTTGGGGTATAGGTAATACCAGTTGGGAGGGACAATTCATTATAAAAGCTGTTGTCGGGATATCACTGTAATACTGTCCTGACCTGAGCAGGCAGCCCGCCGGGATGCACGTTTCTTGAGATTGCCAATTCTGGAGGGCAGGGCTGTTGACACCACCAGTGACCCAGGAATGGGGTGTGCCTCTACCACAGACACAGTGTGTGGCTCTTGGGCAGGTCCTCTGTATCTATTCAGACCAACAAATAGGTATCCAGGTGGAGTCCTTCCTCATGTGCGCCTGTCCTTAGTGAGTACAATGTCAGCCCCCACAGTGCAGCTCAGAGCATGGTGTCTGGGATCGAAACTAAAAACAAGGGGCATGTTTCACCCCCACTTCATTTATTGTTTTGTCACAAGGGTGGCAGTAAGAAAGCTCCACCAGTTTGAATTGTTTGTACAGTTTTGGCTGGTATACAGTTCTCTGGAGCTGGACATCCAACCCAGGTTGTGCTGACTGTTGGCGACCAACACTGCAGAACTAGGAAGCCGGTCTTGTGGTTTAAAACTCTTGGAATTCATCCCTATGCTCTGTTCTGTGTTTTATGTTTCTCTGGAAGACCACTGGGGCCTCGTTTTGATCTTTGGATAACATTGAACCTTCAGAAGGAGTCAAGGTCTTTCAGAGGAAGACAGAAGACAGACAGAAAGCTTGTGCCGTGCTATTCTAAGTGTTTCCCAGAGGTTACCTCCTGTAGTCCTCACAGGGAGGAGTTCAGTACTTGAGTGGAGGTGGTGGGAGGTTGAAGATGCAGAGCTAGGTTCATGCCTGGCAGGCTGGCCTCAGCAATTTCCTTTGACCCCTTGCCATTTGCCACCAAGAGTGTTGTCAGGTGGCAGGAAGGGCAAGGAATGTGCCTGTTAATGTGCACTGCCCCAGTTCATGTAAGTTGACTGCAATATATTTTTTCCTTAAGAAAGCTCTTAGAAGTGACCCTCAGTATCCATGGTCCTGCCTCTGATTTTTGTCACCAGGTCTTAGGAATTCCTGTTCTCGAACATCACAAAAGTAGAAACTTAATCTGCTGACTCTGTCCCTGTCCCCACTGTCAGCAGTGGGCATGTTCACTGCGTGTTCTGCAGAAGGTGGTTTTTCCTCTGACTCTAGCTCATCCCTTTTTATCACTAGGTAGTATTCTAGCATGTGAACGTCCAGTTTGTGTTCAATTCAGAAGTACATCGGGGCGTGGCAAGCTGGGCTGTCCTGCAGGACTGCCATACACATTCTCTAGAGGGCTTTGGGCAGATTTGCCCTGTATCTCTTGGGTGAGTCCCAGGAGTAAGACAGCTGTGCCTTAGGGTGAATGCTTATTTCACAGTCTTTTGTATCATTCTCAAAAAGGCATTCCCAGCTTGCAAGATGACATAAATAAATCTTCCTGTGTATTTTCTTCTAGGATTCAGTCATTTTTATTTTCATTTTTAACACTTAACAGGTTAGGAGACATCTGGGCCCCGAGCAGCCCATTTGCGAGGGCACTGTACAGAGTTGGGGTAGAATCATAGGAAGCACAAGCTGTGGGTCAGGACCAGCCCCAGCGGCAGCACCTATACAGGGGCCAGCTGGTCCTTCGCTGATTCTGTCGTGTGTGTGTGTGTGTGTGTGTGTGTGTGTGTGTGTTGGTTCTTGTCTCAGCCCCAGGCTCTGACCCATCTCCTTCCCTCCTGCAGCACCAGCAGGAACTGCTGGCCCTGAAGCACCAGCAAGAGCTTCTAGAGCACCAGCGGAAGCTGGAGAGGCACCGCCAGGAGCAGGCGCTGGAGAAGCAGCACCGCGAGCAGAAGCTGCAGCAGCTCAAGAACAAGGAGAAAGGCAAAGAAAGTGAGTGCCACGTCTAGGCCACTCCAGGGCCTTCCTCAAGTCAAGGTTCTTTGTGCTCCACTTGCTCCCTGGTCTTCGCATGAGGTGTCACTGCAGGGCCACTTCAAGTGGCTATTTCAGTTGCTCTTAGCTTCAGCCTTGACAGTGACTTTATCCTCGTTTGGGGGCTGCAGGAGCAGTCAGCACAACCTTTTGGTTGACATAAGCATGTTAAAGTATATTTGGCAAACTCCTAATAGGTTGGACAATATTGAAAACCAAATGGGTACTGCGTTTTACCTGTGAGCTTAATCCTAAACATTTGAAAGTTCTTTTCTTTTGAGAGCATTTTGTGGATGCCTTGAACACAATGTTTGCTTGTGGGACACCTGTAGCTGAGAGGAGACATTGTGACCAACCCCAATTCTGCTTTTTATTGTGGCTGTGCCCATATGATACCAGTGTGGTCTGTTATCCTTAGAAAGGCCCAGATGTGATCTGAGCCTGAAGGCTGCTCTGTGTGCTGTTCCCCTTTGGAAAATTTCCTGAGTCCCTCAGGGAAGAGGCCACAGCCCCCTCTGCTGACTTCGCGGCCACTGGACAGAGATTGCCTTGGGCTTGTACCTTGACATGGATGTAAGGTGACTAGCTTGAGTAAGGCCTGGCATGTCAACAGTTGCAGCGTCTTACCTAGACTATGACAAAAGGAACACTGCCCCCATGGGTATTGTGCTGCTTTCTTTTGACAACTTGTTGCCATGACACATCAGGGCCTCCTCAGCAGTCATGTCCACAGTTCTTGCCTGTCAGCTTCCACACCAACATCAGTGCACAGCTGAACTTATTTATCCCTGATCATACTGAAATAAGTCAGGGTACACATCTGTCCCTGTCAGGGCTTAGGCATTGATAGTTGGGTAAGTTGCCCGTACTGTATTCACAAGTAAAAGTAGAAAACTTTACATGCCTCACCAAGAAGCAAAACCTCTAAATTCTCAAAAGTCCTTCAGCTTCAACTTCTGAAAATAATAACCATCTGTACAGTCATTTTAACAAGCTTTTAAGTGGAATATCCAGTTCCACAACAGCATTTTATATTCTTACAGTCTTCTTGTAAATCTATTATTTGAAATTGTTTTAAAGGTAATTATTATTGGCATATGATAAACATACAGAAATGCCCCCAATCTTCAGTTTATAAGGAACTCTTGGGGGAAACTGTCCTCAAGGACCATCCTGTGTTACCATCTCGTAGTACACACCTGGGGCCAGAACAGTCACAACTCCATTCTCCATTCTCCTCCCCAAAGATGCTCCCTGACATCTAACACCCCAGAGTCATTTCTCCTGCTTCCAAAGTGAGTGGGATCATTATCTGGGGCTCCTGCGTTTCCTTTCTTCACTTGGCACTGTGCTTGTGAAGCCATCCTCACTGGTGTTCATGCGCTTTGACTGCGGGTCAGCCATCATGGATGCACTGCCATGTGTGTCCAATGCACTGAAGATATTCGGGCTGTTTTCTGATCAGGGCTGTCATAGTAAGGCTGCCGTGCATGTCCTTTGACATGTCTCTGGGTGCAGATGAATCCCTGTGATGTATTACTGAACCTTAGGGCCAGTGTGTCTCCAACTTTTGTGTCCAAGCCTCTGTACCAGTTTTTGTTGCCACCAGATGTGGGATAGTTGCTATTGCTCTGTGTCCCCATCAACACTGGTACTGCCATCAGTCACTGCCTTGTCTGCTGGGTGTAGCAGCTTCTCATGGCTCCAGCATGTTTCTCTGATTATCAGTTAGACTAGGCACTTTTTGCTATTCCCCATTGTTGAAGTGTGCCCTTTTGTCCAATGCTCTGTCTTCCTTTCTCTGGATGTGGAGTTGTTCTTTTTATGTCACTCTCCTAACATAAGTTCAGTCCTCTATCTTTCTTAAATTAGAATTAGATTATAATAAAAACTGTACTATTTTGCTTATATTATTTTCTACCATTTTGTAAATATTTTCTCTTTTAAAAGGGCATATCTTTGTCCTAAAAGTATTTAGCTAGTGTATTCTCTCTATTTTTGGCTTATTTCTCTATTTGTAAGTTCATAGTAATTGTTTTTATACATAAAATTAACACCTTTTACAATCATTTGTTATTACAACGGTTTACTTTTTTTTAATTTTTAAAGTATGTTTTTATTGATTTCAGAGAGGAAGGGAGAGAGAGAAACATCAGTGATGAGAGGGAATCATCCATCAGCTGCCTCCTGCATGCCTCCTACTAGAGCCCAAAACTTGGACATGTGCCCTGACCAAGCATCGAACCGTGACCTCCTGGTTCATAGGTCCATGCTTAACCACTGAGCCACACTGACCAGCAGTTTACTCTTAAAATAATATTTTCTTCAACTCTGATAGAGCTTCAGTGTGAAAAACACATCAGGAGTTTATTCTCCCTTTGAGATCTAACCTTTGTACCGATATTTGAAAGTAACTGAATAGCACAGTGATCTGTAGCACAGCAGTGAGATGTGGTGATGACTGAGGCTCAGTGGTGGCCCAGTCGAGATCCAGCAGTGAAGACAGAAGGCTGCCAGTAGGAACTACACTGTAGAAAAAACTGTGGTTTGCTGTTAGCAGCCTTGGTATTGGAGTACAGATTGGACCCCTACAAGGGGCAGATTGGGCACATGGTGTCAGCCACCCTAGTTGCTCTCACTGCCTGGCCCGCTGGCTCAGATAACACTTTTCTTCTATACCACTGCCTGCTTATGTGTGCTGACTTCTTTGAGCTGAGGGAACTTCCTGGCTGAGGGTACAGCCAGGGCACTGAAACCATGAGAGATGCGTGAGAGGTGCAGCCAGGTGTCCTGCCATGTTTATTTGGAATGGATTGTGGACAGAGGGATTGTCATTTTTAAAACTCCTGGGTGAGCCTACTGTGTGGCCAGGATGAGAAGTTGCAGTCTAGGTGATTCCTCTCGTGCTGTGTTAGGAATCTGCATAACCTAAAGGCTCCGTGGCCTGCCACATGTGGCCTGGCCTTGTATTTAGGTGCTGCCTTCCACTTCAGAGAGCCACCACCATAGACAACAGCACCGGGCCTTGTAGGGAGCCCTGTGAGGGGCTTCTGTTGTGAGCAGGAGGCTTGCATGCAACCCAAAGCCACAGGAGTGTGTGCAAGGCTGCTGTTACATGTTGTCTTCTAGGAAGTCCTCTGTCCCCATTCTCCCATTCTCTGCTTGGAGCTCAGTGATCCTATGCATTTTTATTTAAGAGGGGAAAGTCATTGCTGCTTATCCAAGGATAGACATTTAACTTGTATCAGCTAGTTGGTCTGTGCCACAACTAACCAACAAAATACCAATTTTTCAGATCGCTTACCAGTAAAAGCAGCTCATCTAAATTAGTCCTTGTATTTACCAGAATCTTCCAATACAAACAAACAACATCCTAAACTCACAAAATATGAAAACCCTTGACCTCAGAAAACATCTTAGATCTCTGCCGCTCTTGTGGAGCAACCCCACTCTGCCCAGCCAGAGTGCTGGAGTGTTCTCTGCTTTCCTCCACACTGTCACAGCGTAGCGCCGGTGGTTTCCAATGTGTGGATTTAGGTGGTCAGATTTTATTAGTAGTAGTAAACTGTGTACCGTGTGAGGATTTGGCACACTGGGGTTGGCTCTGCCGCCTTGAGAGCGGTCCAATGCTGTGGCCCTCCCTGCCTGTGGAGGGGCCCTTGTGTCGTTACAGGCTCTTGGTTATATATACACTTGGAAATGCAGGACACAGCTGCTGTCCAGTTTCTTGGTGTTTTAAATGAATTTCTTTTTAAATACTTAATTCAAAATTTTGTTATATTTGTAAACATTTACAGTACTTTTAATTTTAAATAATTCTGCAGGTGTATTTTTTGTTTTCTGATACCATTAATACCATTCATTTGAAAGAATAGTGAATTCTCAAAATTTGTGAGAGTTATGGTATCTCTGCATTGATACATGATCTTTAATCAATTAAGTTTTAGTTAGATTTACTACCTTTAAGAATCTGAACTACATATATAAATTTAAAAGCAAGTCTTTGTTCTCTGAGCAGGTCAGAATGAGCATGTCGACTCTCATCACTGTTCTTTATAATAGCCTTGTTGAGAGTAAGGGGCCTTCAGTAGGAAAGTCATTCACTTTGTTGTAAAAATGGCTCAAAAGGCTGGTCCTGAAAGTGACCCATTTGTTCCATTTCCTTCCTCAGAGGAATGTAGAGCATAAAAAAAGGAGTCAGGCTCAAGCACAGGCAACTGAAGGTAGCAACAAATTTGTTCAATTCATCATGTCCACCAGCTCATTCTCGGGGCCCCCACCTGGTCAGGTCCTCCACCCATCTGCTGTACCCCCAAAGTGGTCTAGGTCCTCCCACCTATCTGCTTGGTTCCACCTGTTTTACTGTACTTCATGCCTCTCTTCCTATTTATCTTTTTATTTACCTGCCTTTTCTTTAGACAGTCTTTCCTCCCCCCCCGCCCCCCACCTCCACACACCCTGTTGTATGAGACTTTGTCTCTTTTATGTTAGTCGGATCAGTACTAGCACATAGTAAGGTCTTTATAAATCCTATCAAATGAAAGATAATGGACATGAATTATTTTAAAAAGTAGAAATTTTGAGACGTTTGGTTTTTGTTTATTGAAGAGGCGTTACTGATTCCAGAACTTCGATTTAGAGTGGAAAAATCCTTTGAGAGATGAGTACATAACCAGAAGTGTGAGGATCAAAACCAGCAGCTTCCTTTTTGAATTCTATCCTCAAGAAGTACAAAGAAGAAAAGAGGATTTCCTTTGCACTCAGAGTCGCAGGTCTGTCACAGGTCTGTGCCTTGGCATTACTTATTTGCTGCAGTCAGGCCTGTGGGAGCTGAGAGGATGTGCATTTGGGTCATGCTCACTGGCCCCTGTGAGGAGGGACAGTAACTCAGCCCTCAGCGAAAGGTGGCTGGAGGAGGCCAGTTGGGTCACTCCTGTGACCACATCACCATTGGCCACTTCTCTAAAGTAGACTTGGTCTGACAGGTCAGTGCAGCACTGCGTCATTTATTTAGCTCATTTAGCTGGGTGAGGATCATTTTAAAGATGAGGAAGTCTTATTTAGGGGCTTGGGTTTGTTTTCCTTTGATTTCATGAGAGCCTGATAAGGTGCCCTCTCCCACCCCTGAGCAGGTCAAGGAGCCATGGTGCCTTCAGCTGCCCGTGGCCCCTTAGCCCTGCAGACAACCCTCCTCCTAAGAGGATCCTTTCGGCAGCTCGGGGGACAAGGGCTTCTTCGTGTCCCAGCTTGGTGGGTGCTTAGCACAAATGGGCCTTGTCTCAACTGAGCAGTGCATGTGCCCTGGCCACATATTCCTGCCCTTGGTTGTTACTGGTATTTATTGTGTGCCCTTCCTGCTGGGACTGGGCATTTGTTCTTTGCCTTTCTCGAAGTTCAGGAGCCCATGACGCAAGTTTGAAGGTATGGCCAAAGCAGGGAGAGGCAGTGACTTCCTAAATGAGAGATGTGTGAGGTTCTCTCTATTCCTAGAGCACTTACAGGTGAGACACACCATCCCTCCTGTAAAGAGAAAGTGGATTCATGTGAATAGGTATTTTTTTGAGGTTAGGCTAGCTAACAGGAATTCTCATTTGTTGGAAATTTTTGGGATGTGTTTTTATCCTGCTCAGTGAGAACTCTGCTTCTTGTCTTGCTTTCCATTACTCCTTCTGCGACAGCAGGTATGGAAGGACCTGAGGGTTATGTCCTTTGTCTGACCATCGAGATTGTCTTCACCCTGATCACTTTCCTGTAGTGCCAATGGCACTAAAACATGCCAAGTACTGAAAGAGAAAGGGTAATCTCACCTATTGATAAAGATGTAGGGGACCTGCCCCTGGTGTATGGCCAATAGAAAGTCACAAGGTGGGAAGTGTTTAAAGGCATTTGGAAGATGCTTCAAGGACTATAATATTAAACTTGTTAGTTGTCATCATTTTGATGGTCTCTCTTAAGCACTATTCACATGGACAGTGTTATTGACTCATAATGTTCTTTGCAGCATAGTTTCTAACCACCACTAAAGGATAATCTAAGGATGCCCCCCAGTCAGGACTTGACTTTGTAATCCCTGTTTCACTCACAATGGGAATGTTTTCCCACTATGAAAATGCTGTTAGAGTCTATACAATGATGGGACATACTTAGGCCCTTCATTGTTGGGGGATGGACACAGATTCTGAGTAATCAGTGACAGCTCTGAGAAAACAGGGTAGATGTTCACAGGGTGAGTGTGGCAGTGTGAGTTTGGATCTTAATTTCTGTGTGTCTCTTTCTGAGATTAGCTTGTGTGTGCTACTTTCAAGACACCCCAACAGGGGACACTAAGAGGCTCTAGTCCCCTGAGCTGCTGGAAGAATCCTCACAGGAGGAGGGGCATCTGCAGGGTTGAGGGGCTTCCAGGGCAGCTGCAGACACCATTGTCCCTTGACATGCTCAAGGGTGGGAGAGGCTTTGGCCAACCAGCAGCCCAATAAACCATGAAGCTCATGTCTTTGACTTTAGTCCAGTTGGTGAAGTACTTTCTGCCTCAGTAGCTGCGAGGCTGGAAGAAACAGAAATGTGCATTCAATATTATGTGTTATATATACTGAGTGGCCAGATTATTATGATCTCTGAACGCATAATAATCTGGCTACTCAGTGTGTGTGTGTGTGTGTGTGTGTGTGTGTGTGTGTGTCGCCCAGTGCATGAATATGAATTTATACATGTGGGATCCAGCCAGTCTGGCCAGAGGGAGGAGACATGGGCAATTGGCAGGGTTGGCCTGCTGGTTGAACTCCTAGTCGAGGTGACAATTTGCATATTAGCCATTTATTATATAGGATATACACTGAGTGGCCAGATTATTATGCATTTAGAGATCATAATAATCTGGCCACTGAGTGTATAATGTCAATATGATTGCAAAGGAACTTGTTGCCTTATGGGTTCAGGAGTGTGGCAGCCTGCCCAGGATGCAGGCTTCATCTCTGCTGCTGTTGCCATGGGAGGGACGTGTCAGTGTGTACAAAGATTCTCTGAGATTCTGCCTCTAGTGCTGTAGTGAGAAAGAAACCACTCTGCTGCCAGTGCTCAGTCCAGAACTTTTATTTATTTATTTATTTATTTATTTATTTATTTATTTATTTATGAGAGAGGGAGAGGGGAATATCCATGTGAGAGAGAAACATCAATTGGTTGCTTCTTGCATACACCCTGACTGGGAAGGATTCAACCTACAATCTGGGTATGTGCCCTGACCAGGAATAGAACTTGCTACCCTTTATTGTACAGGACAACACTCCAGTCAGCTGAGCCACCCAGCCAAGGCCAGAATGTTCTTTTATGTAAGAACTAGAGGTCTGGTGCATGGATTCATGCACTGGTGGGGTCCCTTGGCCTGGCCTGCACGTTCTCACAATCCAGGACCCCTCAGGGGATGTCCAACTGTTGATTTCAGCCTGGTCCCTGCAGGCCAGGCCGAGGGACCTCACCGGTGCACCAGGCCTCTAGTATACATATAAGAACTTTGGTTAATCTCTTATCGCCTTCCCCGCTTCCTTCTGAGGTTCATCAGTCTGTTCCATGTTTCCATGCCTGTGCATTGAGCATCTTCACCGTTGATGGTCAGTGCACTGCAGCTGATTGGACGGTGGTCTCCGCCCCCGATTGGGTTGGGGGGCTGATTGGGGACAGGGCTGGCCATGGAGAAAAACTGTGGACAGTGGACTGGCCAGCCCTGCCCCTGAATGGGGTGGAGGTGCTGATCAGGGGCCAGGGGGAGGGCCATGGGATGGGTGGTGATCAGGGGCAGGGTTGGCCATGGGAAGAGGCTGCAGGCTGATTGGGGTGATGGAGACCCACTGGGGCTTGGCCAACCAGGGGAGGGGCAGCAGGAGGTTGGCCGCCAAGCCATGCCCCCTATTGAGGTGGGGGGTGTGATCAGGGGCAGGCCAGTTGTGGGGGAAAGGTAGGGGTGGGCTATATGCCTGTTGTGGTGGGGCTGGCTGATCAGGAGAGGGGTTTGCATGTGGGGGGGGCGGGAGAAGAGGAGGCATTGGCCAGCCGCCCTGCTCTTGATCTGGGTGGGAGAGTCCGATCAGCAGCAGGCCTTTATGGGGGAGGGGCTGCGGCCCCACCCCATTCGGCCCCACCCCCTGATCGGGCCAGGTTTGCTGGGCACAGTGGACGTCATAGCCACTGTTCATTATGGTTGTTATGGCCATTATGGTCACTAGTGTGTGTGTGTGTGTGTGTGTGTGTGTGTGTGTGTGTGTGTATATATATATATATATATATATATATATATATATATGATAGGCTAGAGGCCTAGTACATGAATTCATGCACAGGTGGAGTCCAACCGGCTTGTCCTGATTTGGGCCGATTGGGGCTGGTTCAGCTGCGTGTGTGTGTGTGGGGGGGGACTGCAGGCAGTTGGCTGGCACGGCCCCCCAATTGGGATGGAGGGTGCCAAACAGGGCTGCGGTTTGCATCAAAACAACTGGTTGTTCCAGTTATTCTGGCAATCCAGTCACTTGGCTTTTATATACTGTATATAAACAGATAGTAAAGCTTCCTAAAGAAGTGGATTTGTATGAGGGGATAGTCTATCTTCATACTTATTGCTTCTGCACTTTTGATACAATGCAATTATGTAAAACCCTTAGTGGAAGAGGATCTCTTATTAAACCTTCTGCCTTCTCCTTCCTTCAAGAAGTTTCCACGGTGTTAGCAGCCTCCTGAATTATATCTAATCCCAATATCTCCATCCCCTTCCCATTTCAGGGCAGAGCCTCCAGTCACTGCCTTGTGCTTTCTCCCATGCCAGGTGCTGTGGCCAGCACAGAAGTGAAGATGAAGTTGCAAGAGTTTGTCCTCAATAAAAAGAAGGCGCTGGCCCACCGGAGCCTGAACCACTGTATCTCCAGTGACCCTCGCTACTGGTATGGGTAAGTGGGGTGTGGGCAGGGCCCTAAACACACAATCCGTGATAGATTTGAGTGACACCAGTTCTGTTCCTGGAAGGCAGTGGAAGGGTGTGGAATTAGACACGTCCAAGACAAGTAGCAAACATGCTGTGAAGGATAAGGTCTGGTGGTTAAGACACACTGCAGTCGCCCAGAGGGGCTTGGCCCTCTCTTAAAATGACCTGAGTGATGCTCCAGGGCTGGGGCCTGCCCATCATTCTCGGCTTTCCTGGTCTTCTCAGGCCACAAAAGGATCTACTTCAATTGGAACTTTGGTCTCAATTAGGCACCTCTATATCTCTTCCCCAGGTATTATTGATTCTTAGGGAGTCAGTAAACCCCTGCAGCGTATTTATTTACTTTTTTAAAAAATATATCTTATTGATTTTTATAAAATCAGAGAAGAAGGGAGAGGGATAGAGAGTCAGAAACATCGATGAGAGAGAAACATCGATCAGCTGCCTCCTGCACACCTCCTACTGGGGATGTGCCTGCAACCAAGGTACATGCCCTTGACCCGAATCAAACCCGGGACCTCTCAGTCCATAGGCCGACGCTCTATCCACTGAGCCAAACCAGTTTCAGCTGTTTATTATTTTTATGTAAGAGCCTCTGCCAGAGCCTGCACAATGACAGAGACCCTCAAAGAGCCTGCTCATGCTGGAAGTCAAAAGTCCTGACCTTGTTGGTGGTGATGCCATGTGCAGGGGGAATTCTCTGCCAGCAGGGTTCCAGAGCCCTGGCCGTGGACACAGGCCAGGTTTGGAAGGGCATGGCGAGCTTGTGGCTTTCAACACTGACCAAGGTGCTTCATAGATGTTTGCTTTACTTGTAAGTTTCTACTGCTCTTCCGAGTGATTTCATTTTGGGAGAAACCCATGGGTAGTTTTTATAAATCAAAATGTGACTACCATTAATTTCATGGGGGTGAAAATGTAGCTGTCCTCACGCTCCAAAGTACTAAAACACCAAATGCCATTGAGGTGACTTCATTTATTCCCTTAGATGACATATCAGTCATCTCAATGCAACCTAAAGGCATTTTGTCCCCAGACCCTTTTCTGCTCCCCTTGGCTCTCTGTGGCTGCTCATTGCTGAACACCAGGCTGTGCTCATGCCATGACCTGCTGTGGTATTTATACAGCTCAACCAGTGACAGTCACACAGGAAGGAAGGCCATGGGGGTCCATGCAAAGTCGTAACAGAGTCCTGAGCCCAGGGCCACCTGAGAGGGGGTGTTCGTTAGACGTGCTGGGGCAGTGCACTTGGAGACCCCATTTTTGATAGCACCAGTCTGACCTGTGGTCTCTCCACTGATAGTAGTCACAGGGTTGTCATGGGAAAGATCCATTGTCTAGGCTGGGGTGGCAGGTGGAAGCTGGCTGAGTGAGAGTAGCAATTGGGAAATGGCTGTGGTGGTGTCCACGGAGTTGAATTGAGGGCAGCAGTAATGAAGCTGGGGTGGGGTTGGGTGGGCTCAGAGACCAGGAGGCACAGTGAGGAACCTGGACTATAGACTTATAAGGGCAGTAGCTGGAGGGAGGCTGAGACAGCTGGCAGAAAACCTTAGAAGAGATGACCATGGGGTGGCGAGGCCCCAGGAACCTATCCAGAAGAGGAGCGGTGTCCTAGAGTGGTGAGCCCAGGCGAGTCAGAGTGGGAGGCATGGCTTGAGCACATCAGGGTTGTTGGATGGCTGCCACAGGGCCCTGGAGGAGGGTTAGGGAGAGACTAGGTGGGCAGGAGTAGAGGCCATGGTGGTGGGCTTACGGATGAGGGGAGCATGGAGTCCACAGGCTGGGCAAGTGCATCACCTGCATCAAGGAGGCTGCAGAGAACGGGTGGCCTCTGGCAGAGATGGGGCAGGAGCTGTGAGGTTAGGAATGTAGGGGTTTCTGGGGAGGGGTCCACAAGGAGTGGCTGGGGCAGGGAAGGGGAGAGGGCAAGTGGCTGTCCCTAGGATACACTGTAAAGCTGTGATTTGGTAGAGGGTGTTAGCCCCCAGACCTTGAATGACATTGTGGGAGACAGTCCCCAGGGTGAGGCTTTCGGGGTCTTAGTACAACTGCAGGAGGGCTTTGTGCCTGAAGGAGAAGTGACCCTTGATGAGGTTGCAGCCAGCCCATGGATGCCCCTGTTCCAGCCTGGACTCCCAGCCCAGGCCACAGGTGGTCCCAGGAATGTGAGAACGTCGTGATGGAGTTTCATCCCTGTAGCGGTGGGGCATGGCCTGCCTGGGCTGGTGCCAGGCACTCGATGGACTAGCCCTGCTCATTGACCAGGTCTCTGTGAGAGATACCTTCTTTATACTGCTTTGCTCTTGAATATTCAAATATCCACCTGTAAGCACTTAGAAGCTCACATTCTTAATTCAAATACCAGCAGGTGCATGGATAAGAAGTCCTGTGTATTCAAATAAATAATCTAACAAATTCCAAATAAGTTTGGCAAATTTGTTTTCAGTCATTAAGCAGATTACACAGTTTGAATTTCACAGAATTCATTTACACCTCTGGTGCTTCCACAAGACTCAGCTGGCAGTTCCACCAGGACAGAGCTTGCTAATGGTTGTTCGGAGGGCAACTAGCCCTCTGATGCCTCCCTCTCTCCTGAGCCTCCCTGTGGGGCAGGCTGCCAGCCATTTTAAGGATTCTAAGTTCTATATGGCTATTCATAAAGAAGTAAATGTATAGATCAACTCCAGGGCAGCCTGTCCCTCCCCACAGAAGAAAATGTCTGTGGTGATTTTGTCTCGGAGGAAAAGCTGCAGGTTCTCTGCTGGAGGGAAGTACCATGTGGCTTCTGCCCTCAAGGACGACATTTCCAACTGTCGTCCCAAATCCCTTCCATTCCCCCTCACAGCCATCCCTACCACACTTTTGGTTCTTTACACCTGGAGCCCACCTGTCTACCTCTGGGCCCTGTCCCCCCAGGACGAGCCCCTCTGCTGGTGGTGACCCTGGTGGCCAGAGTTCAGACGAAGTCAGGAGTCACTTGAGAGCAGTGGCTTGGCAGAGACTTCTCGGCATCAGGTCACGCAGGGGAGGTGCAGTCACATGGTCTGCCTCTCTGTTTTGGTTTTCTTTCAGTCTGGTCCCAGAGAGGAGGCTGGTCTGCCCAGGAGGCCGCCAGCTGAGCTGGAGCTGATATCAAAGGGAGGACCACTCATGGGGACAGTGTCTCGGACTTTGGTGTGCCTTGCTTTGAGGAGCCAAGCTACACTGAGTCTATGCCCCACACTCACTAAGCCATGTCTTTGCATGTCATCCCCAGGAAAACTCAGCACAGCTCCCTGGATCAGAGCTCCCCACCCCAGAGCGGTGTGTCGGCCTCCTACAACCACCCGGTCCTGGGCATGTACGACGCCAAAGACGACTTCCCTCTAAGAAAAACAGGTCAGTGTCCCGTCTGCTGGTGTGAGGATGGGGTGGGCCCTGCACCTGCACCCCCCACATCCCTAAGTCCACCTGGCACTAACAGGAAGCCCTTGCTAATTTTAAATAGGTGCTTCTTTATTAGAGCATCATTTTAAACAATATTCTGAAGTATTCCTATTGATTCATACCAAAAGCATGAAGGTCATGTATATGCACATACTTTTTAAGGCTCAAGCTCATTTGTAAACATGCAAACTTACTCTTCTTTTGGGGGTGTCCTGTACTTTGCCCAGCCTAGAGTGTCCCCTGGTGGATGTGGGAACACAGCTGCTCCTGTGATGAGCCTTGAGATCTTATTGTTGGCTCTCAGTACTGCATCTGGGCAGAGCCCATGAGCGGAGGTGGTTGGGGTGCTGGAGTTGGGGGGAAAGCTGTATGAGAAAGAAATCAGGGACATTACAGGGGGAGGTTTCAGGGGTTTGAGCAGCACCTTTGTAACAAGCCAGAGGGGAGCAACACCTCTGTCACAAATGTAAATAGGGTACCGGGCCTTTTAGGCTTTCTGCAGTATTGGTGGTTTAAGCAGGCAGAGGTGTTTAAGATGAGAGTGGCCATGGGCAGTGCACTGGGGCTGAGGAAGGCAGGGCTAGGGTAGGAGAACCATCCAGAGCTCTGTCTCCGGGAGGCCAGGGCCTGAATGGCATCAGAACCTGGGCCGCAAGGCAGTGTGGGTAATGTGGGGACACCTGCTTAATGGGAATAGTCTGCTGTGCAGCTGTGTCTTTGTAAAAACAAACTTTATGTTATTTAGAAGATTTCAGTTAATTCAGGACAGAAATGTTTTAAAGCAGTCACAACCCAGGTCTTTTACCTCAATGATGAGGCATTGGGGGTGGGGGCTCACCTGCCAGCCCACCCTAATACTGAGATGGAAGGGGGGGAGCTTCTCAGTAGGTGGAGCTGTGCCCAGAGATGGGTCAGACCAGGGTGCAGACCTGGAAGTTGCAGGGAGGGAGGTTGAAGCTCAGCCCCAGCGAGATTTGACTAGCAGTCGAAGTGTGTGAGAGAAAGGGGCCACAGCAGTACGGCCATGCCCCTGGTGCTGACCCCAGAGCCTCGACTAGATGTTGAAACAGCCAGAGGTGGGGTCCTACAAACAAGTGTAAAACCTTTAATGCTGAAGGTGGATGTGGGGCTTCTTGTCCTTTCCTCTTCACTTTGAAGGTATGGTTCTCACTCATCATCTACCAAGACTGATCTTGAGTTTCCCCTAAAATGAGTGCCCACTAGCTGGACAGAAAGAAGTGTCTGTCAGGGTTTGGGGCCCATCCTCCAATTGCTCTTAAAAAATGGGCATGAGTGTATTCAGAAGGTTTTAAAGACAACTTTGTTGTGCTTTTCCAAAGAAACTCCCAGAGATAGCCAGTGTTGTTCAATTCTAGGCAGCTTGTACACTGGGAAAGTGGTTCACACCTTTTTCTGTGTTCAGCCTTCAAACTGACACCTGCCAGACTTGAACTCCTTTCAGTATGAAAAGTGCCCAGTGAGATCGAGATCTTGTGCTGATCTTTTCAAATCTGCAGGTTTCACTGTTCAGTGGGAAAGCTGCTCTGAGCCCAGTTGAGTTTGGCAGGGGGTTTAGGAGAGCATCGCATACAGTACATTTTTTAAAATGAAAAATTACATAAATAAATCATGCTTGTATTAAATTAACACACAGAAGTACGCACCCTGAGTCTTATTTCCCAAGGTAGCTACTGCCAGTAGTTTATCTGCAGACATTTTAGAGCCTGTGTGTTGTGTGTGTGTGTGTGTGTGTGTGTGTGGTGTGTGTGTATAGCTGTCTTTTTGTTAACAAAATACCTGCTCTGCACTTTGTCCTGTAACTCTGTTTTTCAGCTAATGTTATAATGTTGGCACCATTTCATGAGCGTATAAAGATTAATACTTGATTGGTCAGGGGGTGGCCTAGGTTTTAGGTACAGAAGACTTAGGAAACACCATGGGCAGAGTGGCAGGTTTGCAAATGGCTCTGTCCACACAAGCAGAGCTGTGAATAAAAACCAAACCAAGCCGAAACACCTGTGGCCTGTGTGCAGGTGAACTAGGATGTTGAGACCTGGCTTGGTTAACCCTCATCCCAGGGTGGTTTGGCTTGGTGTTAATACCCTCATGTCAGCCATTCACAGAGGACACAGGTGCTCCAGCGGGCAGCTTGCTTCTGGGTTTGTGATACGTGGCAGGTGAGCAGGAAAGTATGTAAGGTCAGGATATTGCCCATGGACCAAAGCCCCAAAAACCCAGTTCTGTTTTCCTCCCCTCTGCTGGTAAGGCACAGCGACATTATTTTTTATGACTCCACTGACACAAGTTTATAATCCTATATGTGAAGAAATATAGGCATCAGATGTGTTTTACTCACTGTTTGATTGAAAATACTCTGCCCAAGGCCTCAGAATAGTGCCTTCACTCAGCTGTTAAGCAAATATTTACCCAGTGTGCAGATTTTTAAACCACCACAAAATAACCCTGACCCAGGTTGTATCTGCCTTGCTGTCTCCTTTTCATGCAGCTTCAGAACCCAATCTGAAATTACGGTCCCGGCTAAAGCAGAAAGTGGCTGAGAGACGGAGCAGCCCCCTGTTGCGCAGAAAAGATGGGCCTGTGGTCACTGCTCTAAAAAAGCGTCCCTTGGATGTCACAGGTATGTTAGAGGAAAGTTTAAACCCCACTGCCTGCCCACCAACACAGCACCACCTTCTCCATGATGCTCTTTAGCACTTCTGAGGCTGAAGCCCACCCTGCACACCTGTCCTTGCTCCAGCATGAGTCTCTAGGCACAGGGAGCACAACAAAGCTAACAGGGCAGGAGAGTTCTGCAGGGATTCAAATTGAGGTTACTCTGAAGGTGAGGTTTTAATCCATTCTACCCTGTTAGTGGGGAGTCATACATGTCTGACCTGCTCCAATGCCAGAACCACTAGAGCATCAAAATGGTTCAGCATGGGGCCAGCAGGTAGACAGAAGAGAAATGGGTACCACCTAGTGGTGGAGACACAGAATATACCCACTGGGCAGAGACCCTTTCCAAGGGCCCACCCCTTCACAGGGATGTACTCCAGGTCCCTTGGTGCACCCCAGTCCTCAGGAGTACCCCCTTACAAGAGTTAATCCCCTATCCAAGATATACCCCACCTCGAGATACACCCCTGACCCAAGACACACGCCCTCATCCTGTGGGCACATCCCGTTTACTGGGGGTGCACCATGTCATAAGGGCGCACGTCTACATTCCTGAAAGCACAGGACAAAAAAGTTGCTTAGAGGTGGCCTGGAAATGGGTATATGTGTGGGAGGGGTTGGGGGTTGAAGGCAGCATTTGCACCAAGTACAGGGTTTAGATTGAAAACCAAGACTCTGGAGCAGGAGGGGGCCTTTGGCGTTGGTCCTCCCTATGTGAGCAGCCACATCCCACAATCTGAGTCCCAACATCTTTGGTATAAGTGCCTGGCAACCTGCCCAGCTGCTCTTGAGGTTCCTCGGCCCAGGGGAAACCCAGCTTAGAGCCTGTCTTCACATATCTGTGGATTAGTGTAAAAGAATCTGGGGACCCATTTTTGTCTTTGTCTTCCTTTTTCAATGTGGGGGTCTGTCCACTGGTTGTTCTAGTGTGGAGGCCTCATTTAAAGAAATGAAGAAACGGTTGAAGTCCCTCTTGGCTTCACCAGCTTGACACTTCTGTACGAATTAAAGAATCCCGTTATGTTAAAGCAGTTGTGTGCTCATGGACACAGCCTGGTTTTCTCTGAGCAGCATCTTGGTCAGGGCCAGCTCTAAGGCCAGCATTTATTTCTAGTCACACTGTTGGGGAGATGGAATTGTCCCAAGGCTTCTTTCTGAGCATTAGAGTGAAAGTCATATCGGCCATGACTGCTGATGCTACTGTAAGACCTGGCTGGTCCTCGCTGCCCAGGAGCTTTCGATCTAATTCAAGAGACCTGACCATCACTGTGATACAAGTAGCAGACTGGGTGTGCAACTCCTGATTGACACTGAGTGTGTTTCATAGAGAAAGCACCCAAAGGAACCTGGGCCAGGACATGAGGGAAGCTGCACAGGCCAGAAAAAAACTTGAGTGACAGGTGCAGGTGTTCTAAGCAGCACAGGGCCCCAGGTGGCTGGAGGGGCCCGTGCTCTGAGCATAGCTGATTTCCCAGCAAGACAGGACCTGATGGTGGCCGTGGTCATAGGTTGGGCAGAGAAAGCAAGTCGTGTGTTCATTGCTGCTCCCCTAGAACTCAGAAGGCCAACTGGACAGAATACCTTCCTATCCTCTATCACACAGCGAATGGACTCTTCTCCCTATGAGCAGCATGCAGCCACTGTGCCTTCACAGTTACTTATACAAGCTGTAGTGTGTGTTTTCACATAACCCAGATCAGTTTCCACATAACGCAGAAACTACAAGCTCTACTTTTCTTGGACCTCGATATAACTCGGGAAGGATGAGAGGATGTGTTCAAAGTGGACATTAATGGTGTGTGGCTTTCCTAGTGACAAGTAACCTTTCCCTGCTCTCAGTCATTGGGCTTGTGTGTTTCCTGGCCTTTTGTTTAGAGTATTAGTTAGTGTCCAAGGGATTGTCTTTCTGGTCTTTAAGATCATCTTAAAACACAAAAGAAAAGTAAAATTGATAATGTGTACAGCTCAAAAGTCTCAGGTGTGGAGTCCACAGAACTAAAAAATTAGCAAAACTGAAAATGGGGTGTGGTTTGCACAGTGCTCTTTGGGGACCCTGGTCATGTTCTCTCCTGCTGGAATTTGCCCACACACTGGTGAGCAGCAGCCCAGGCCTCAGTAAATGAGTCCCATGACTTTCCTCGGACTTGAGCGAGTGTGGATGACGACATGTCTTTCCACTACAGACTCTGCATGCAGTAGTGCCCCTGGCTCTGCACCCAGCTCGCCTAACAACAGCTCCGGGAGCGTCAGCACGGAGAATGGAATCGCACCTACCGTCCCCAGCATCCCAGCCGAGGTCAGTGCCCCACTTTCTGTTTGTTTCCTTAAGGCCCTGAGGGGGATTCAAAGAGCTGATTTGTTTGAAGTGAGTGTATCTTACAGTTATTCTTCAGACTTAACTTTCCAGGTCATGGTGAGGGAAATTGAGGAATGAGGCAGCCTGCAGAGCACTGATGTGGACTTCATTGTCCACTTGCCACTCATCATTCGACCTCCTTTACATAGGGACTCAGGAGTTCCCAATACGAGAGTCGTGGTCAAAGAACATTTCTGCACCCCCTCTTTCCTCCTGAGCTCTTCAGAACACATTAGGTCCATCCTCCACATGAACCACATGCCAATGGTGCCAGCTGCCCATAACCTCATGGCACAGGGCTCTGCATGCTGGTTGGGAACAGGAGCCCATTGGAATCTTGGCTGGATGGGAATTAAAATATTTTTTGTGGCTCTAGCTGGTTTGGCTCAGTGGATAGAGCATCAACCTGCAGACTGAAGAGTCCCACGTTCAATTCCGGTCAAGGGCACACCTTGGATGCAGACTTGATCCCCGGTCCTGATCGGGGCGCATTCGAAAAGCAACCACTAGAAGAATCTCTCTCACGTTGATGTTTTCTTATCTGTCTTTCTCCCTCCCTTCCACTCTCTCTAAAAAACAATGGAAAAATATCCTCTGGTGAGTTTTAACAACAAAAACAAAAATACTTATGTATTGAGAGATACACAACTTAAAATGTTGCCAACAAGGCACATGTTCTTGTGTCAGGAACACTGGATGGAACCACACTGGGAGATAGTTAGGGTGTCAGCATCACGAATTGGGTACAGGGAAGGTTCTGGGATCACTTGGAGGGAACGTCAGGTGTAGGGATTGGCTGAGAGGGAAGGAGGGCCTCCTGGGAGAAAAAGTGAATGGCTTCTTCAGCCAGGTGGAGGGTCCCAGGGCCAGCTGCAGAGGTGCTGTTCCCTTGAGCTGACCTGAGTCAGAGCGACTTTACAACAGTAAGTTCCAAGACCTTTGCTCTTACATTCGTTCCCCTCCATTTATCCCCCAAGTGTCTCTGGAATGCCTATCTTGCCCCAGCCCTTTGCAGGCTCGGGACTTAGGGCCAGAGTCCAGCCAAGGGCCTGCTTCTCCTGGCTCCTCATGTTGGTTGGTCAGGTGGGCCAGACTTGAGCAGAGAACTTCGCACTTGCTGAGTGGGGATGTGGGTGGGATCCATGTGGGGAACCTCCTCAGCATTGAGTGTCTGGCAAACTGAGCCAGAAGCACCGTCTGCTTCGTGCCCAGACAGCTCTACTGAGTGGGTTCTGTGTTCTAACTGACAGGAGGCCATACTTTATTAGACATAGCTTCTTACTTTCCTCCTTAAATGGTTAGAAATGAATCCAGCCCTTCCAAAGAAAGGGCTGACAGAGTTCTAGACACTTTATTGGTAAGCAGATTTTTGGAAACTAAGATTACTGCTTAATTTGCTTAATCCTCATTTTCTCATCTTTTTCTTTTATACATCTCTTTCTTTTATGACCTTTTCTTTTCAACCTACCTGTTTAAGTGCTTATTTAGATTATAGAAAGTTTTGAGAGTCCCTTGGGTGTTCAGGTCATAGCTCATTGCAGCCTAAAGTTAAGTAGAGCTCAGCCTAGAAATTGCTTCCGGGACGAGATGTCAGGATCATCACATGGGCAATAGCGATCCCGGGCCCTGGTTGTTATTATAGGTGGGCAGGTATGTATCTAATGCTTCATGTTGTAGGGATGCCTTATTTGGGTGAGTCTATATGGTTCCGGTTTAAAGTATGTGTTAATTTTTTCAAGTCACACATTAGTGCAAATTATTAGAAGATGTAGGAGGGTTCACAAGAAATGTTAAGAGTACTGGCAGGGGAGACTTGGAAAATGTGATGGTATGTAGATGTCCTTTTTTAGGATTGACAGTTCCCTGAGAGGCACAGAGGCTTCCCAGTCCAGAGGCAGTGTGGAATCCTTGTGTGGGAGGGAGACAGGGGACCCTTGGACGGCATGGAGCTCAGCCTCACTACATCCTGTCCCCTTTTATACAGAGGATGTAGGGCTAGGTGTGATTGAGGCATGCCTGTGACTAGGGTGTGCCTGTGATTGGGGTGTGGCTGGCAGGGCGGTGCCACAGAACTGAGAAGCTGATAGAGACATTGACACTGAAAATGCGGGCAAGTCTACCTACCAAGTAATTCTTAGGCAGCTTTATTTCTAAAAATAACTTAGGTAAAAAAAAAAAAAATAGCCTTGGTTATAAAGAGGAACTTCCAACCTTGGAAACATTAGAACATCTCTTCGTTCCTGGAGAATTTCAGTTCAGTGGAGCCACGGTTTCCTTGGCAGTCGCAGTCATGGTCCCTAAAACATAGCCTGTTATCGAATAGTATTTTACTTTTTACAAAATTGTTTTGTGTGGGAAGAGTGCTTTCACAGTCGTCCTTTCATCGTTACTGTACCATTGACTCATGAGTGACTATGGTAGCTGTACAGGTAGCTGCAGCCAGTCTCTAGAACAAGACATGCTGCTTCCTTCCTCATGAGGAAAGCCGTTCCATCCTCTTCTGCCTTTAGCACAGGAACAAAGTGTATGTTTCTTGATGACACCAAAATATGATACCATCAACATAGCCACCTGAAGAATCTGCAAGTGCCCGCTCTCTGAGTCCACACATGGTTTCTGAGAGTGGGCACTGGTCCCCGCAGGCCGGCAGGGCTGCAGACAATAGCCGCTTTCTGCAGTAACATGTAACAGCTTTCAGTCCATAGGTTTTCCCCTGGAAGTGAAATGGTTTTTATCTTTGATTATGTTCACTGTGGTAAGGATAGAAGGAAGTCAGGATGTTCATCCCTCATGTTATTTTCCATCTTGCAGACTTCTGCCACTCCCACCTTCGTGCCCCATGGCAAAGTCACCTGTTGGTGGTTTGCTCATTGACTCAATGCACATTTGCTGAGTGTCTGCTGTGCAAGGATGTGCTGGTGAATAAACAGTCCTTTTTATCTAAGAAGGTTTATTCTAGAAGCAAAAGATGTTAAATATCTCAGTACTTCAACTCCTTGCAGACTGCTCACCCTTTTCTAACTGCCCTTCTCATCCTCACTTTTGTGTACACTTAAATAGTCTGTCTTATTTTTTAAAAGTGCAAGATTTTGTAACTTATTTTTCTAACTTAACATCATATCACCAACAAGATTCCAAATAACTACAAGCCTCTCCCAAACTGATGCCCCATGTATAAACGAGCCTGCTTTTGAATTGTGAGCTCTTTATATATTAACCTTTTTTTGTCCTGTATTTTGCTACTATTATCAACACCATTTTTTCCCTTTCATGTGAGGGTTTTTTTTTTTCATCTTTAGTTTCCTCTTTGGTTTCTGCCTCTTATATTATATTTGGAAAGACATTTCCAACTCTTAAGAATATATTTTAAAATACGTTGTCCTAGGTTTTCTTCTTGAAGTTTTGTCATGAGTAAGAAATTTGAATAAAAATGAGAGTTTAGTGGATCATGAATCTATGGTATCATGCTTGCTGCCTACTCTGAAATATTACACTCACCTACATGCTATAATCTGTTAGTACGTCTTTATATTCTCAGCACGGTCTGTCCAAAAGTGTTTTCTGTTGACGTTTCCTTGGGGTGGTTGCCCACACTTGGCCAGAGCAGATTCTGTCTGATGGTCATCTTGTGTTCTGTCCCCAGACCAGCTTGGCACACAGACTGGTGACTCGGGAAGGCTCCGTGGCCCCACTTCCCCTCTACACATCGCCATCCTTGCCCAACATCACACTGGGACTTCCTGCCACCGGCCCTTCTGCTGTAAGTAGACTTCCGAGGGTCTGTGTGGTGCGGGGCAGCTGTCACAGGCACGTAGCCTGGACATTACCAGTTGTGCCTCTCCAGGGGGCAGCAGGCCAGCAGGAAGCCGAGAGACTGGCTCTCCCAGCCCTGCAACAGCGGCTCTCCCTCTTTCCCGGCACCCACCTCACACCCTACCTGAGCACAGCGCCCCTGGAGCGGGATGGCGGGGCAGCTCACAACCCTCTCCTGCAGCACATGGTCTTACTGGAGCAGCCACCCACACAGACGCCCCTCGTCACAGGTAAGCGCTCTGCATGGCATCAGGCCTTGCCAGCTCACAGAACCCGGCAAGGAAACCTGTTCCACCCTGTGTTTCCCTCACGTCTCCCATGTCCGGGCATATGACATGATGCACCATGTCTCCCTCACAGAACTGGGTGGGTGACATGCCAGTTACAGGTCCTTCCCTCTCAAGAGGAGGTTGAGGCTCCTCTGGGTCAAGCTGAGCAAGTGGCAGAAACACAGACCTGACTTGGGAGGACAGTCAATTTTTGTCAGCAGTACATTTTATTAAAACGGTGCCCCATCTGAAGGATGGTAGCATTTAGGAAAAAGTGGGAAATCTGTGGTGTTTTCATAGCAGTGATGGTGTACAGAGTCTCTAAAGATCGCCAGACATGTGGGGGCTGCGGTCACCCGTCCCCCTCTGGGTATCATCCTTAGTTTCATATCTGGCTTCTCGAATTCTCTCTCTGTTCAGAAGTAAAATCTACAGCAATATTAGGGCTTCACCTCCAAATCTCTGACCCCCAACCTCAGTTGGAAATGCAGGTGCCTGCAGGCCATAGTCCAAATATGGCGTGTGCGGGTCCACATGCGGATTTGGTTTGGTTTTCCTGTTTTGTGCTTGTTTGTCTCTCTCAAGCACTTGTTCATTAGAGTCACTGGCTGGCCTGGGCTCGGGTCGTGTCCTTCTAGGACCCCTGGGCCCTGTGAGAAGACACCTCCTGACTGCTTTCCTGCCTAGCTGCAGCCACAGTTGGCCATTAACATTGAAATTGAAAATTAAAAGCACTCAGTCACCTGTGAGGCCTAGCGAGTGTTCCTATGGTTGCTGGTGCAGTGCGACCTGGACCATTTCTATGGCACAGAAAGCTCTGGGCCGCTGGCTGCAGTGAGGCCCCAGCTCTCAGCTGGAGATAGGCTGTGCCAGGCCTCTGGGCCTCTTCCTTCCATGCAGCTCACCAACTATCTAGTTTTACTCCTCACTGACTGGCCTACAGGGTGATTCTGGAAGCCCTGTCGTTTTCCCAAAGCCCCCTTTTCCATGAGGCCAGCTCCTGTGCCCCTGTCCTGCTCCTGTGTGCTCATTCTATGTCAGCTGCTGTGGACACTACATCTGTCCTGCTTCTCTCCCGGGGTCCAGACATTGCATTTTCCTACAGCTCTGCCATCCTCTCTCTCCCAGCACCCACACAGTCTGCAATGCTTAGCAGATAGCATAAGCACAGTAAATATCCTTGTGACTGAGCCCAGTGAGAGCCATGGTGTCTGAGGTGGCTATGTCGAGCAGGATCCAGAAGGTGTCACTGCAAGTTTCCTATGTCAGTGTATCTAAGTCCCCCCGAGTGGTCGGCCCATAGACCTACCTCCTTGCTGATGATCTCGTTGGACAGACTGACCAAGTTATACCAGCTCCACTCACAAGTGCTCTGCAAACAGGCCCCTGTGAGAGGAGTGTCTAACTGGGTTAGAGAGCAAGCAAGGTAGAGGGTCTCGGGCTCTGTGTCCCCTTCCCCATAGGCCCTATGGCTCGTATGTTTTCATTTTATTAGGCTTTCTGCACACGGTATCATTACTCTTGAAAAGAGCATAGTCCCAGTATTCCCAGAGGCTGAGTTTGAGCAGCCAGCTGGGGCAGTGCATGGAAATTGAGGTCATTTCCAGGCGAGAAGGAAACTGCAGAGTCCTGGCTTGTTTCTGCAGCTCCACACAGAACCATGGGCACTGCCTGGTCTGGCCACACAGCTGAGCACAATGCTTGAGTGGCCAACGAACTGAACTTTCAGACCAGTGTGTCCTACCAGCCAGATCCTGGGAGATGGGCCCCAGAGCTTGGTAGTTGGGTGTGTGCAGGAGGCTGGGTGCTGGGGCAGGTGAGCTTTAGGGAAGGCTTCCTGGAAACAATCATCGCTGCTTGAGACCTGGGGTAGGATTCGGCAGGTGAATAGGTGAGAAGAAGGCCAAGCGGGGCAGGTATGGGTACCTGGCGGGTTATTTTAGCCTTCTGGTCACTAACAGGGCAGCAGGAGATGGTGTGCTCGTTCATTTACCATTTCTCCAGGTCGGACATCCTTGACCCAGGGTCATTTTCAGCCTGAGCAATGTTTAGTGTTTGTTTGCCTCAGGTTGCCAGGGGGATATACCCAGGTTGCAGGAGAAGGGGTTTGTTAGACCTTTTGCCGATAGAACCTTGGAAAAATGGTCAATGACCTAAACAACAATTTGCAAAAGAAAGACCAGATGGAGGACAAATCTACAGAAGGAAAAATGTTAAACTTCCTGGTTCACAGAGAGGTTGAAATTGAAATTCAAGTGCAGACATAGCCAGAACACCTGTTGATGGCATTAACCTTTGTGTCAGAGACAGTACCCTCCAAGTGACAGCTCAGGATGCTTGGCATGTGCCTGGAGTCACACCCGGTGGGCTCCAGGGAGGAGGCGCCTGGGCTGGCAGCTACAGCTCATGGTGTCTCTGTCATTCACTCAACAGCTTTCTCCCCTCCTCTCTTCTTCCTCTTCCCCTCTGCTATTTTCCTCCATGTTATCTTCAGACTGGTATCTTTCAGGCCTGGGCGCCCTGCCCCTGCACGCACAGTCTCTGGTTGGCACAGACCGGGTATCCCCCTCCATCCACAAGCTGAGGCAGCACCGTCCACTGGGGCGCACACAATCGGCTCCGCTGCCCCAGAATGCCCAGGCCCTGCAGCACCTGGTCATCCAGCAGCAGCACCAGCAGTTTCTGGAGAAACACAAGCAACAGTTTCAGCAGCAGCAGCTGCACATGAACAAGGTGGGTCTGTGCCGTGCGCTTCGCGGCCTCACATCTGTTAGCTCTTTCCTCAGCTTTGCCATCTGGCAGCTGCCCCTTTCTGACCTTGAACAGCCAGGAGCCACAGGAGAAATAGTAGGTCTCAAGCTTCCTCACGCTCGGCAGGGAGGGGCTTGTGTGCAGCTGGAACTTGGGGGAATTGTTCGTGCAGGGGATAACAGGAGTGGGCAGGGCCAATTCCCGAGTCCCTGGTCAGTGTTATGTATGTGAAGTGTTTGCATCACTGCATGGCAAATTCCACTCGGCCAACACTTTTTGCTTTTTAAATATGTTTTTATTGATTTCATAGATGAAAGGGGAAAGAAATAGAAACATCAATGATGAGACAATTATTGATTGGTTGTCTCCTGCACTCTCCACACTGGGGATCGAGCCTACAATCTGGGCATATGCCCTGATAGGGAATTGAACCTAGTCCATAGGTCAGTGCTCAGCCACTTAGCCATGCCAGCCAGGCAAGACTTTTTTCTCAAGCATATTATCTTCTTTAAGCAAACACTAAACAGAAAGTCCCCAACTTTATTGTGGCCTGAAGTCCCCAGAAGCACATGTCTGGGGTAACTCTACCCTTGCGGTATACTTGTGCATTGGAATAACATCCTCTAGGGGGCTACCCCCAGGCCAGCTCACAGAGACCTGCACACCTGCACAGTCTCTAGAGTCATGGCGGCACCACTCACAGCAGGAAGTGGTGGGAAAGGGTGTTTTTGCTCTCTAGTAAGTAAAATAGAAAAAGCAATTTTGAGTAATGTTTTTCAAATGCCAACGTTTGAAAAAAAAGCATATTTTAATAGGAAAGAATGAGATGAACCTGTGGAAGGCAGTCCAGCATTTCCTCAAAAGGTTAACAGAATTGCCATTAGACCCAGCAGGCCCACTGCTAGACCTGCACCCAAGAGAGTTGACAACATACATCTACACAAGGGCTTGCACACCAACAGCAGGACAGCCCAGATGGCAGTCAAACAGAATGGGCACAGACAGGCCTTGGTGCATCACTCAGCCCTGAAAACATAGTGCTGAGTGAGAGAAGCCGGACAGAAAAGCCCACACGTTGTGTAATTCGATGTGGGTAGAACATCAGACGGGCAGGCAGATTGGTGATTGATGGGCACCCTAGGCAGGGTGGGAAGTGGCGGGGGGTGACTGCCAGTGGGAATGGCATTTCTTTCTGAAATGATTGAAAGTGTTCTAAGAGACATGATGGTTGCACAACTCTGTTAATATAAATGAATAGTGACTTACACAGTTCAAAAGTGTGAACTCTGGTATGTGAGTTACCTCTCAAAGCTGCTAAGACAGTAATGGGTAAGGTAAGAAAAGGTAGCTTTGGTGATTTCTGAGGGGAACTCACAGATTTGGGGATGGATAGACTTGATTCTCAATGTGTCTCTTTCCTGGTTGCATCCCCTTCATTCAGGGAGACCCCAGTCAATGATCCTCCACCCGTTACACACAGTTAGGTTTGTCTCTGCCTCCCTAAGGAATGAAAGAGTGGAAGGGAGGGGATTAGGAACAAGATCTGGAAGGGTCCACATGAGTGTGAAGATGGAGCAAGAGGAGAGAAGACCACCTCCCCAGGGCTGAGCCGCTAAGTGCAGCCAGCCCTGTTCCTCTGTCAGCCAGCATTCCCAGCCCAGTTGGGTTTTGGGCACGGAGACTAGTCTTCAAAGAAGACTCCACACTCCCGAGGTTTGCTCCTCTGAGTCTTGTCCCGAACGTCACTCATGAGTTCCCCATGCCAGTTAGAACTGCCTCCCAGCCCCATCCTGTTACGGTGCCCACCCTCCTGTCTGCAGTGACTATACCCATTCCTCATGTTTCATATTCCTATGTTTCCTCCTGGCATGTCAGCCCACAAGGATGTGATCTGTGTACCCTGGTGGACCCAGGTGCCTGGCACAGTGCCTGCCGAGAGTGGGTGCTGGTGTGGTTTTTTTGTCAAGAGTTGCTTGTTGAAATGCCATCATGTCTTTTGGGGCTGCTCTTCCACTGAGTCCGACTCAGCCCCCACAGGGTTCACAAGTGGAGGTGGCAGCCACATAGCCCCAGTCCACTCCAGTGTATTTGCCCTGACAGGGCTGAGGGCGTTTCCTCATGAATAGCCAGCTGCGCAGGGCAGCCAAGCCCAGACCCCTCTACCCACCAGGCACTAGGGAATAGGCTTGGACCCCACCCACAGATTCCCCACCCCACAGGCTCTCCCAGCCAGGCAGGACAAAGCAGTCAGCAGTGGGCAGGCCCTGAGCCCGTCTCTGATGGGACAGGAAAGGGATTCCTCACTGTGTGGGAATTTGACATTTCTCCATCTGATGCCAGCTTGGCTTCTTCATTTTGTTATGTCATTATCTGAGTGTCACGGTAGGAGGCTCAGAAGACAGGAAACACCTATTCATAGGTGATATGTTCCTGAACAGAGCGACTTGTAAGCTGGGTAATCTCCCTGATTCTGCTACATGACTGACTGATGGTGGGAATGACAGGTGACTGACATGTTTATACACTGTTCTCGCGGCGCTCAGGGAGCCAATCTCGTATCTGTACCGTCTGGCACTGATGTCTCTGCCCTTCATCTTGGAGCAGGCTGTTCCTAGACCTCATTATCTGACGGCACTAGAGCCCAGGGCCTGGCAGGGCTCCCTCCCTGCAGCCCTGTGCCCTATGCATGCGGGTGGTGGCCTTCCATGCATGGTCTGCTGTCATTCAGCCTTGGTGGGAAGTTGCTTCAAGGATGTCACCCTTGGAGAGAGGTCAGCTCTTCCCAATTGCTGCACTTTCAGCAGCCCACTGGGGCTGCTGTGGTTTCCAGAGAATGGCCCATTGGCTGAGAAAGCCTGTGAAGCAGGAAAGACGGACCTAGGAGCTGTCTGTGTTCACCGGGGCTATCACCACTGCTCTCCAGCGGTATGTGGGCCTCCCTGTGGGTGCCCAGCGCTACTGTCCAGCTGTGTGCCAGCCTCACTGTGGATACCCATGGCCTTGCATGCAGTGTATTTAATGGGTGAAGGGACTTTTAGGAGAATATTTGCCTTCAAAGGGGAGTGGGGCGTCTGGGAGCGTCTGAGAATGGCCTCAGGTGTGGTCTGTCTGTGTAAGGTGAGCAGCATGTACAGGGGCAGAAGTGCTTTTTCTCTGTTAGGAAAGAATTCTTTTTTTTTTTTTTTTAATATATTTTATTGATTTTTTTACAGAGAGGAAGGGAGAGAGTAGAAACATCAATGAGTCATCGATCAGCTGCCTCCTGCACACCCCCTACTGGGGACATGCCCACAACCAAGGTACATGCCCTTGACCGGAATCGAACCCATTACCCTTCAGTCTGCAGCTCGACTCTCTATCCACTGAACCAAACTGGTTTTGGCAGGAAAGAATTCTTAAGGCACCTTGACAACTGGAGAAGCTGGCGTTTGCTGTGACAGTAGTTCTGTCTGTGGTTGCTGAATTCCACATGCGCCCAAATCCTGTAGAGCTGGGTTGGATGTGTTTCCCTTTCACCGACCTTCCCAATATTGAATATGAAAACTGGATCTCGTTTATTTGTGTTGTCTCATTATGAGCATGGCCAATAATCTTTAAAAATGGGCTGCTTACCAGTTGGCTTTGGCTCTGAACTCCAGTCTGGCTTTTAGAAAATGTGTTGCTCTAATTTGGAGTTGCATTTGTTCTCATGTAATTGATAAATAAGGGCTCCTAAGGTCCAAAGGCCACTAGGAGACAAAGCTAACTTGTTCGTCCAGTTTGCTGCCGATTCTCTGCCAGTGTTTCCTCCAGCACATTTGCCTGCCACTGCCCCTCCTGCTGCTGGCTCTGCCATATGGCCTGGCCACAGCCGTCAGTGGGAAGCAGAGCCGCATGTCAGCGACAGGGGGCCAGACAGTGGCTTCGGTCCATGGAGGCTGGCCGCACAAGCTCCTGCATCACTGCTGAGTGAACACAGTCCTGCATCACTCCTGCAACACAGGGAAGCTTCTGATGCAAGCCACGTGCCACTGCTCTGGCAACATCCCTCCTAGGCACCCTCAGTCCTCAGGCCGTGAAGTGAGCTCCAGGAACCTAGGCTCTCATGGAAGCTCTGGATGTCCTAACTACTCTGGAGGGCCTGGCAGGCTCTGCTTGAATGCCTCATTTCCCAAGGAAGCTGAGAGGATGGTAGAGGAAGCCCTGGATGACTGCTGTGAGCAGGCTGCTTTGTGTCCCCTCTGCCCAGCTTCTCCAGGAAGAGCTGCCGCTGGGCCTTTGCCATCCCCCAACTCCTTTCTCCTCCCCTTCTATGACCCAGAGCTGCCACCCATCCATCTGCCTGCAAGGGCTGCAGCCTCGCCCCACCCCATGCCTGCCAGGCCTGGGGGGATGGGGAAGCGGTGTGGCCGCAGGGGCTCCCTAAGAATGAAGCTGCAGGAGGAAGGAGGAAACTCCATAGAGCCCATCAGCTGGAAAGATGCCCAGGACATTCACTGGAACTGGTGAAACTAAACATTCAGCCCAAAAGCAGCACTGACAGAAAGGATGGAGTGTGGTCCATAGGAAGCACTCTGACCACAGCTGGAAGCCCACCTGCCCCACAGGGAGTCTGCCCAACTATGTCAGCACCTGCCCAGATACCAGAGGGGATGATCTCTCACCACATCCAGGGGCCCTTTACAGACACTGGTTGAATGCTTCAGACATGGCAACTTCGGACAGGTCACCCAAACACATGTGATCTGTAGCTGGACCCGATTTGAAACAGAATGACGTTACCGGACAACTGAGGGAACTTGAATATTTGTGTGGTCTACAGCACAGTTGACAGTCACTATCAGTGAGAATCCAAAGTGGGTGATTTCCAGCGTTCCGTGGAGAAGGGTAGAGGAATGCTAACACATTTGCAGGATTGCATCTCGCAGCCACTGGTAGTCCTCAAATAGGTCAGGGGAGGAAAGGTCAACCTCTGTCTGTATCCCTGTGTCCATCCATCTATAGGAGAAGGGCATATGAGATTTCTTGACAATTTTTAAAAGTTTTCTCTAGTTTTGAAATTTAGAAGAAAATTTTGGAAGAAAGGATTGGAGTATCCTGTCCTCTGAGTACATGTTCCCATGGCCACTCTCTTAACTCTTCAGTATTAATCTCTGTTTTCTCAACCAGCTTCCTCAGGCAAGCACTGGGGCCCTGGCTGGGCTCTCCACTCCTCATTTACTTTTCTCTGGCCTCCCTGGGGAGGGACCAGAGCTCTGTGTCTTCAGAAACTCCCCACATCAGACCTGGGCCTCCCAAGTAGCCTAGAATAGGCCCTAGGTTACCCTAACATACAAATTACCTCCCTTTGGGGTCATCCTCAGGTCACAGCCTCCTGTTTCCCCCACACTTGGTGCAGATGCTTCCCATAGCCATCTTCATGGAGCTTGTGGAATGGCATCTCGGAGCAGGGCATGTGGCCTGTATGCCTCCTCGTAACACCCCAGAACTGACTCTGAGCCTGCAGGTACTCAGGGCCCTCTAGTCTTCCTCCCCAAGGCAGCGGATGGATGGATCCCTCTTCCTCTCCTGGCCTCTGTGTTTCCCTTTGTGTGTGTGGCCTCGCTGGCCTCAGTACAAGCTTCCATGAGCCTTGCATGTGCTTCTGCCCTCGAGGTTTCAACTTCCTGAATGATCAGTTGTCCCTGACAGCCATCTCCAGTCCTGAGCTGGCTCCTAAACCCTTACTTGGATCCCCTTCTCATGTGGCACTTGGATTTCAGCCTCTCTGAGCCGTTCTATTCCCTGCCCTTCTTTCCTGGCCAGCTGCATCCTTCTAGGCAGTAGCCAGCTTCTGTCCATACCTGCACCAGGAGTCAGCCCTGTTGCAGCCTTGCACTCCTTTTCTGAACCCACCCCCTCCTCTGGCCTTTCACCCCAGCCTGGCTGAGGTACAAAGTGTCATTCCCAGTGCCCCATTCTCAGTGTGACCTGTTAGGACCTACCTATGGCACAGGCAGGGTTGTGAACCCCCTTTCAGAAAACACAGCTTCTCATGACTATGGTCTGGAGGTCAAAGTTCATGACATGGGGGCTTTTTAGGCCCGAGGGTGGGGGGCAGAAAGTGGGATGGGGTTGGGGGCTCTAGGGCCTGGTAAGCTGGCAGAGAAGCTCAGAAGGAGGAGGAGCAGATGCAGGTAACAAGTCCCAGTCCTCTTTCAGGTCAGGACCTCAGTTACACTAGGATGGACACAGAAAAGGGATTTCTCAGACAGATGAATAATTGGGCTGAGGGTGGAAGAAGGCAGGCAATGTCTCAGCAGTTGTGGCAGTGGAGGAGGGGACATTGTCTCTTACCTTCTCACCCAGGTGCAGAGGTGAGTTGACATGTCTGATTGTCATTGCTGTTCTCTTGCTTGGCACAAACACAGTTTCATAAACAAATCAATTGCAGGTCTGCCTCCTTCCCCGCCTGGGGATTTGGTATTACTTCTCAGCACCGCGGACAGCGCCCACGTTCTGCATAGGTGACCAGCCTGGTGCCTGTTCTCTATCCCTTTGTTTCTGAGATGAAGACTTTTGATGCACCTTTTCCTTTATGATGACCTCAGTCACCTTGGGTCACTCTGACTTCACCCTTCACCTCTTGTAGATTATCCCCAAACCCAGCGAGCCAGCCCGGCAGCCTGAGAGCCACCCCGAGGAGACAGAGGAGGAGCTCCGTGAGCACCAGGCCCTCCTGGAGGAGCCTTACCTGGACCGGATCTCTGGGCAGAAGGAGGCCCAGGAGCTGGCTGGAGTGCAGGTGAAACAGGAGCCCTTGGAGAGTGATGATGAGGAGACAGAGCCATCGCGGGAAGTGGAACCCAGCCAGCGCCAGCCCACAGAGCAAGAGCTGCTTTTCAGACAGGTGACCAGGAGGGCAGGGCAGGCAGGGTGAGGAAAGGTGAACAGGAAAGGGAAAGTGGACTGGAGCCTGGTGGTGCAGGAGGCAAGGGACAGGCCTGGTCTCAGACAGTGGCCCATGTTTCCAGTGGGTAATGGAAACTGAAGGGCCTCTTCCTTCCACTCCTGCCAGCCCAGGTCTTTACCCATCACTCCTTAGTGGTGTGGGAGGGCCTATGTCTGTTTACCTTAGCAATATCCAGACATACTGGCCATTTGTCCAATGCGCCCACTTTCCAGCCAGAGTTGGCCCAGACTCCCTAGGGATGGTTTTCTTTCAGGTCTGTAAGCTGTGATAAACATAAAGCCAAGTGTTAGTAGGATTCAGCATAATCACTAAAGGTTTGCGGAGGGAAATTAATGTTTTAGTTGATCAAAAAGGTAGGCAGGGCCTTTGGGGCCTGAGGAGGCAGCAGTGGCCAACCTCGCAGATCCAGAAAAGTAGTGTCAGCCAGGTGCCCAGAGCCTGGAAGGGTTCTGGGCTCGGGCACACAATAACCAAACTCACAAGAGACTAGTGAATATATCTGATGAATGATTTATTAATTTACAGTAAAAATAAAGCTGCCAAATCAACAGAACAGTAGGTCAACCAGGCAGGCAGCAAGTCAGAACCTCATGTTAAGAGGCCCAAGTGCCACCAAGGAAGTTGCTTACTCCTAACGAGCCAGACGTGCGAGCCAAGGGGCGCTCTCGAGGTGGAGTTGGATCTTGTCCTCCAGCAACAGAGCTCTGTCCAGGGTGCAGGTCCTGGCTCGTCCCCGCCCTTCTCTCCACTAGATGTTCTGGCCATCTAGTTGTGCGCCACTCATCTCTAACAGCCCAGGCATGTGGCCCTTCGCAGTTCCCCCAGTAGCACCGGGAAAGAGTCCACCTGTTACACACAGGACCTTAGATTTCTCTAGAGACCTCTGGGTGGGCGGCAGGCCACACCCTTCACCCCTTCTGGGTTTCATGGGGGGCCCTGTGGCTGCCTGCTTGTACAGTGCTTTTCCTTTTTCTTATTCAGAGGGGGACCATCTCGCTTTTCTCAGGCCACATTATAAGCACCCAGGCACTAAGCCACTGCTCTGCAAAGTGCAGTGGAAATGGCACTTAATGAAAATAGAGAAGTTCCAACAAAGGAGCCTTGTCTTCTGCTGTGCAGCTCCAGCAGCAGGAGTGCCTGGCTGGCTGTCTTGGCCAATAGGACCCCATAGGCCTTCATTCCCTGGTCTGTGTAGGTCTTGGAGTTATGAAGGAAGCAGGTTTCTTATTATAACTGAAATTCAATGTGTTGTTAGTACCGGAAATGAGATTGGAAAGTACTTATGTAAATTTTTAGGGTAAATATCTTATAGATGATAAAGCCATCAGCATTTATTTAGGAAAAATAGCCTTGTATTCCAAGCCTGAGGAAATCATTAAAAATACTAATTTTCTTTGTTCTTTGGAGAATAATTAGCAGAAGTCCTCATCAGGGAAACTCAGTGGTGCAAGTAGCAATTTGCAGATATAAACGTGAGGCATTGTGTCTGAGATTTTGGAAAACCTGTACTGGGAAGAGGGCTAGTTGGTTGTAGGTGGCCATGAAGCTGGGTGTGAATCCAGTGGAGCCTCCTGCTCAGGTCCTTCCAGCATCTCAGGGCTCTTCCTCTGCCCCCCGCCCCTTCTCTCCCCAACCCTGCGGTGTGCCTGCCTCTCCCCCCAGGGTCCAGGAAAACAGACCTTCCAGAATGACAAGATTTATACATGAAAACTGAGGCACTATTTGCAGAGGATTTGGCAGGCTCTGCTTTCTCTGGCACCTCAGCCTATAAAGTGGCCCTAGGGATCAGCAGCTCCTTAGGTAGGGCTGGTCTGGTCCCAGGGTCATACCTGCCCCTCGCTCCCTGTGGCTCTACTCTGCCTCCCACAGGACACGCACCTCAGCCTGTCCACGGCATCCCATCGGGGACTGTCTTTCTCAGGCCCTGGCTGAGTGGACCCATGTTCCACAGACATAGCACTTCCCCTGCACTGCAGCCATGGGTTAGAGCCTTTCTGTCCCAGCAGCCTCCACAGCCCCTTCCAGAGTCCTCCTTTATATCCACTGGCCAGCAGTGCAGAGGGGGAGAGAGGTCAGAGACCTGCTGGCTTTTAGGCTGTGGGTCCTGGTTATATTTGTGCTCTTACAGAAGCCATTCCTCACACAGAAACAGGATTTTTGTGGGGAGAAAACCTTTTCATGGATGTATGTGTTTGATTCATCCCTTTCTACTCTGTGGGGGTTTTTTTTTGTTTGTTTGTTTTTTGTTTTGTTTTTTCCTAAAAGATGGCTATCAGTCCTGGGATTGTCCATGTAGGACTCTATCTCCTCAGAGACACAGCCACACACCCCCGGCCCTGTCACCCAGCTGCTTGGGCCCTGGGTGTCAGGAACCTGATGGCTCACATCTTCCTTGCTTCAGCAGTCGTTCCTGTCCTCAAGTGAGGGTGTGGGACAGTGAGGGGCTAGGACAGGGAAACGGTGTCAAATGAAGTAGAGTTAGCATTTCTCTTCTGCGGTGGGCTCTTTAGCCCAGGTTTCTGGCATGCAGAGCAAGTGCTCTTGGTCAAAACCAAGACAACAGCAGAATTAACCAGGAGGGTTGCTGGGGCATCTGGTGGCCATCCCCAGTATTTATCCAGGTGTGAGCTGGTGGAGGGGAGGGCGGGCACAGGGATGAATAATACATGAGAAAAAGACATGCAGAACCCTTAGGGAGGTGAGGTTTCTTGAAGCAACAAATGTTTTTCCCCCTAGCAAGCGCTCCTGCTGGAACAGCAGCGGATCCACCAGCTGAGGAACTACCAGGCCTCCATGGAGGCCGCTGGCATTCCAGTGTCCTTCGGCGGCCACCGGCCTCTGTCCCGGGCACAGTCCTCCCCAGCATCTGCCACCTTCCCCATGTCTGTGCAGGAGCCCCCCAGCAAACCGAGGTTCACCACAGGTAACATGAGCAGGAAGGGCCGGGGTAGGGGTGGTGTTGGGCCTAGGCTGCCTAGCAGGGCAACTGGGATATGGCAGACGTCTGTCTGTGAGGTGTGCTTCAGGGCGAGTTGTCAGAGACAGGCCGCTTCTAGGGCTGGGCAGCCTCACACTTGGCCCAACCTCTTTCACTGGGTAGAGGGTGTGTGTGTGTGGTGGGGAGGACAGGGGGGGACAGATGGATGGCTCACTGATGCTCCCATCTCCTACCCTCCATTACGATCCTAGAAGCTTTCTCCTGGGCATAGAAGCCCACCCTCGCATCCCAGAGTCATTGGTCTCCGGGAAAAGGTCCATCCCAGGCCAGCGTGAGTGTGGTGTGCAGACTGGACGCCTCCCTGTCATCATCAGCAGGGACAGTGAACCTGCCCTTTCTCCTCTGTCCCTTCCTTGAGTTGAGCCTATACCTAGGGCCCTGGACTTTGCATTGCTGTCCTCCTTGTTGCCAGTGGTCACAATTCCTACTGTGCTGTTCTGTGTTGCCCCACCTCACCATGGCAGAGCCGGAGGACACATCTGCTGGCGGGAACCTTGTTTCTGCCTGAAAGACTCCACACACTAGTCAGGAATGAGAATTGGGTGATTGAGCCAGGCACCCACTGAGGTCTAAGGCACTGGGCTCGTTAAAACAGTGGCCCACACAGCCTGCAGGAGTCTGGTGTGGAGTGTGGGACCCTGGGGGAAAGGGGCCTGTGAGCATTTCCATGATGAGGACTGGCAGCGTGGGATATTCAGGCCTGCCTTCTGGAAGATGCCCAGAACCGGCCTGGGGCGGAAGGAAGCCAGGGTTGCTCTTAACACTGTTTTCATCTGATATTTATTTTCACTGATTTATTAACACAAAAAAGTGTCAAAATTCAGAATGGTTTCATCCTTCAAACAATCCTTATTAAAAATCTTAGTTTTTTCACAGTTATGTCTAAGTGTGGTTACGTTCTCTTTGTCAGCTCTTAGAAGGATATTGTTTATATTCAGAGAAAAACTTAAGTAGTGATTATCCAGAAATTAAATCATTGCTTCTCAGAAAGGAGACCAGAGACTCCACAGGTTCATGTGAGCAGCAGGTGGCCCTTCCTGGCAGGAAGCAGATCTTGGCCACTGGCCAAGATGAGCCCGGAGCCTAGCTCACAGCAGAGACCATGCCTTGTCTTTCTGAACCTAGGAGCCTCAGTCAGTATAGTCCACTAGGACCACTTAAGAGAGAAGTGGATTCCTGGCAGATAGACTTGGCTATTTAGACCAAAATCTCATTTCTGAAACTCTCCCTGGTCCCCTGCAACATTAATGCCATACCGCATTAACGCTGGAGATAGGAGTCCTAGGGTGGGCCTCCTTTTTATGTCTTTTTCCTTTACCTGCTCCCACCCAGCAGGGTACCGCACCCCAGAGATGTTGTCGGCTTGATTCTGGGCAGATGTGCACCAAAGCCGTTACCCAGTTCCCTCTTGACCTCTCCTTGGTTTTTGTTTCTTTGAACTGCAGTTGAGGGGTTCTGATGAGCTTTTATTTTTCTAGTGAATCGTCCCTGCAGGATGGGTCATAATGTGAGCCTCTGTCCACTTTTTGGAAGTGGTAGTTTGCCACCAAGATGGTAGCTTTCCGGGCTGGTGGTGGGCAGCCTTCTGCCCAGCTCCCCTATTGCTCTGAGGGTCTCACCACTGCCTCCCTGCAGGCCTGGTGTACGACACACTGATGCTGAAGCACCAGTGCACCTGCGGGAACAGCAACAGCCACCCCGAGCATGCCGGCAGGATCCAGAGCATCTGGTCTCGGCTACAGGAGACTGGCCTTCGAGGCAAATGCGAGGTAAGGCTGCCCAGAGCAGCAGAGAGAGGGTGGCCCACACAGCCTGCAGGAGTCTGGTGTGGAGTGTGGGACCCTGGGGGAAAGGGGCCTGTGAGCATTTCCATGATGAGGACTGGCAGCGTGGGATATTCAGGCCTGCCTTCTGGAAGATACCCAGAGCTATTTTCCTAAAAGCCCAATGCCTCCTGAAGGAAGGCTCACCTCTATCATGCACCCTAATCCCCTGTACCTGCTGATTCCCTGCATCCCCTGGTCCACCTGCATTCAGTCCCCTGCATCCTTCTATCTGCCTGTACCCCCCTGTCTCTGTATCCCATTGTCCCTCTGTAACCCTTTGTCCTGTACACTCATCACACGCTGTTCCACTCTCTCTCAGCACACTGTTACTGAAACTTCTTATTTTCCATCTGGTCATTCCCCTGGAGCAGTGGTCGGCAAACTGCGGCTCGCGAGCCACATTTGGCTCTTTGACCCCTTGAGTTTTTAGCAAAGAACAGCTTAAGAGTACCCTAATTAAGTTAATAACAATGTACCTACCTTTATAGTTTAAGTTTAAAAAATGTGGCTCTCAAAGAAATTTCAATCTTTCAAAAGAAATTTCAAAATTTCAATCTATACTGTTGACTAATAAGTTTGCCGACCACTGCCCTGGAGGAAACATTCTGAGACTCTTCTCCCATCAGCTCCCAGAATGCACACAGGCTGCCCTCCAGCAGGAAATGAGCCTTATTGCTTTCCTTCAGTGTCCTCTCACTTAACATTCCTGAAGCTTCTCCCAGTATGTGGAAAGTGTCAGGTTTGAAGTATCCCTCAGAATCCTAGTTCCCACGAGGCTGTGAATGGTGTGGAAATTTGAGTCACAGTCTGGTCCTGTTTTGTCTGGTTGGAATTTGATTCACAATCATAGCATCCCCACCCTCTCTGAGTGGAGTGAGAGGGTTCCAGCTGGTCCTCGGTCTCCACACTGCCTTGGATAGTGAAGGCCAATCTCACTCTCAGACAAGGAGGGCCCCCACCTCCTGGCCCATCAGGGCCTGGGATTCCAGTCTCTGCCCACATGTGGCTGCAGTAATCCCCAGCCAGTAAGGACAGGAAGGCTCTGCTGAGTAACATGAAGGACATTCATTCATCCTGCTGATAGGGAAAATGTTTCCAGGGAAAATGTTTCCACGAAGTGACCCAACTCATGCTCTTTGCCTTGGAGTGCAGCATCCTGAAGGAGTGTAGTTCTCGGGGAGGCCTTGCCATTAGTGGGTGCATGAGGAGAGGCCCAGGCTCAGGGACACCTCACAGTCCTGTCTGTGGAGGGGCTGGCAGCACCCAAATCCCAGGAAACTTTAGGACAATGGTCCCAGTCCCCAAGTACCCGTTAAGTGGGACCTGTTGTGTCTGCCACACATTGGAAATCCCACAACACTAGGGATGCGACATGGATGGCACATGCTGCTTTGCAGAGTGACTGGGAAGCTAGAGCCCTGCAGTTGATGACAAACTGTCCATATCTCTGCATCACAGCCCAAGCCACCTGGGCCACAGCTGAGGCAGGCATGTTGCAGAGAGCCAACACATCCAGGACTCTGTTGAGCCTCCCTCAAGTCCCCGTACTGCTTCATTTGAGTCCCCCTTCCCTACTCGAGTCCCCCCATTCCCCATGCAAATTCCCTCACTTCCCCATCCAAGTCTCACTTTCCCACTCAAGTGCCCCCATTTCTCCACTCAAGTCCTCCCCTCCTGCCCCCCGCTTTCCCATTCAAGTCCCCGCCTTGGGTCCCGCTCCTCTTCCTCCTCCTCCAGAAACTGGATGTTTAGGAACTTTAATTCCCCATCTTTTCCAGTTTTTCACATGATTTTTGGAGGGGAATGGGGCACAAAGGTCCGATCCAGAATCCTTTCCTCTAGTGCTGACTGAGGAAGACCATGAGGAATGGAGCTTGGCACCTGTTCTGTGTCGCCAGAGCGCACCACTAGGGGGCAGCATTGCCCCAGCAAACAGCTGTAACCTGTTCCTCCTGCAGACCACCTGGCCCTGCTTCTTCTCCATAAGGCTGTTGGGGCATCTGAAATCCCCATGCCCAGCTTCCTGTCCCTCCCTCCTCGTCCCCAAGAAGGTCAAGGAGGCCAGAGGCCTCTGCAGTAGTTTCTCAGCCAGGAAAGCCAATATGGCAAGGTGGAGTGAGACATGAAACACAGAAGAGTAAAGCTTCAACTCTCTTCCATCTTCTTTGGCACCATAGGGGGCACCAACCTGTTCTCCCTAATGACTGCAGTGGGTCCCCAGACCTGCAGGCCTTGAGTACCAAGGAGGGGAGGGGTCTGTGGTTCATGGGTCAGACCTAAATCAGCACAATGGTCTAGAGGAGACTGGATGGAAACATGTGGCCTCCACACAGTACTCATTCAGAGACCCATGTGGACTGTGCACCTTGAACTGCACCTCCTAGCTGAGTGATGTGTGGTCACTCAACCCAAGGGAGTACAGTGTTTCTGTCACCACCCCTCACACCTAGCTCCCAGCATAGTCCCTGGATGGCAGAGTACATGGTCTGGGACGGGACATGTTTATAGGAGTTGACCTCCAACAGGAGAAGTTAAAGGGACTTACCAGGATCCCAGGTATCCTAGTCAGGGCCCCTCACTCTAGGCAGATGACTGTGGAGGTGTCCATTGGGTGGGCTCCCCTGCTGCATCGGACTTGCAGTGGTGCTGTAAGATGAGTGAGTGGATCTTTCCTGGGAGCTCACTCCCCTCCACGCTGAGGCTGGGCCAGCAATGAGACAGCCACAGGCAGCTTGTAGCCAGCTCCCTCTGCTTTTACTTCCTGCTACAGCACGGTCTCTGGAGAAGCTGCCCTATTCTGAGGAGTTCCAGATCACCCCAGAGGTTTCAGGAGCAGGAGAAGCTGCTGGCCTGGCTCTGTGCTCACGAGTGTCACGCTATCTGGCAGCCCAGGGTGTCCCCAGACCACCACCACCGGGGCCTCTGGCTGTGTTCTGACTCCCAGAAAGCCACTATAGTGTAAAATGACAATTTAATCTCATCTCATAAACCAACCCCTCCTGCTATAAGGTCGAGTAAATGTAACTCAACTAACGAATAGTAATTTTATGTTAATTTCTGGGGGAAATCTGAAAACAACACTGATTTGGATAATTCCTAAGCCAAAGAAAAATACAGATTGAAGAGGCGTGGATGGAGATCCAAGGCCGATTCAGGTTTCTCTGGGCTCCCTGGAAGGTTGCTTCTTTCCGGCGCTGGCTAGTGCTCCGGGACGCGGGCCCCAGCCTCCTCTCAGGGAGAACTCCGGAGGCAGCCCCACTGCCCTTGGCAAATCCTCTCTGCTTTGAGTCCAGACCTTGGCAGTGGGGAAATAGAATAGTAATTTGGTGACAGTGAAAGTTAAAGCACTGAAGGCTGGAATTGTCTTTTTAAACATTTTTTTCAGTTACAATTAAAGTAAGCCATCCCTGGAAATTTAAGAAACATTGTGTAGGTGAGGTTGGTTTTGTATTCTGCAGTAACTAAATAACTTCTGCTCCTGCACGTACACAGTTCAGTTTCCTTTGGGTGATGTTTTTCTCTTGAACCTGAGACCACTCGGGCAATATGAGCGACCTCTCCCATTGTGTCCCCACAGTGTATCCGAGGACGGAAGGCCACCCTGGAGGAGCTGCAGACCGTGCATTCAGAGGCACACACCTTGCTCTACGGCACGAACCCCCTCAACAGGCAGAAACTGGACAGTAAGAAACGTCTAGGTATTCCGAGGCCTTCCTAACTTTACTGCCCGAGGCTGTTTCCAGCCCTGTGCTCACTCAAGGCGGCTCTGTGCCTGGTCACAGGAGGAGGTCCCATCCTTGGCCTGTGAGGCTGTGGCTAAGACAGTGAGTGTCACCCACCAGTCTCTTCCCGGGCAGCCAGGCAGGGAGAGCCCTTCTCTGTAGGGCCTGTGTCCAGTTTTAAGGTGAGGTGCTGGAGGAGGAGTTTTCACCCTGTGTATCTAGTGGGGTTCTAAGTCTTAGTTGTGTCCATGTAGGAAATGGTGTGGGAACCACTGGTTTCATAGGATCTGAGACAGCAGAAGTTAGATGCTCGAGCTCCCAGCCTGCTGCCTACCCTCACCTGCAAGGAGCCTGGTCCAAGCTCTGCCCAATGCTCTGCTGTCCTGAACCCTGTTCCCCCTGATGCACTGTGATCCCTGGGAAAGCTGATGTCAGGGTGTGGACCAAAGATTCCCTCCACTGTCATGGCCTGAGAGCTGTCACCCCACAGAGGCACTTTTGTTCTCTGCTTTGTTCTTGCCACTTGGTTTTTCAAAGCTCAGCTCTTGTGGTTTAAGATACGACATAGGAGGTAGAACCATAAGTAAAAGTGTGGTGACCATTGGCCAGGAGCAGGAGAGAGGTTCCTGGTCCCCATGGAGGAGGGTGTGGATGTGGTCTCAGTCACAGGATGTTTATGTACATCATGTACACCCTTCATGTGAATGATCCTGCTACACATTCCCAAAAGGCAGTTGTGTCTCTCAGCTCTGGGGGGTGTTTGGGGTGCACAGGCCCCTTATCCCATTGTCATGGAGAGGGACTTAGGCAGAGGGCAGGGAAGTCTGAGCCAAGGTAGGGGACAAAGGCTCTGGAGGGACACATAGCTTCTGGAGGGCTGGAAGCTAGAGCTGTGGTGCAGAGAAGGGTGGAGCATCTCCAGAAACGAGCCAGCATTCAGGGCCAGAGGAAAGGACATCTAGCCTGGGGCCAGGAAGGGTTTGGAAGAAAGGAGCATTAAGAGATGAAGACAGTGGACAGTGGGGAGAGGGCAAGTGGCCTCAGCAGGAGGAACTGATCAAGGAGACTACATGCAAAAGACAGCCACATAGCGTGACCAGCAGTGCCCAATCCCCAGAGCCTCCAGGATCCTCCAGGAAATGTCGCTGCTTCAGCACAGGTCTTGCTGCCTGGAGTGTTCTCCTTCTTGGAGAGGGGCCTATGGTCCTGCTGCCACAACTCGAACAAGTAACCCCAATTCCAGCCACAGGGAGGTCTCTAGTCACAGGGCAACGTCAAGTGTGTGCTGTTTGAAACCATGATACTATAAATCACTCTACTTTTGCTTTTCTGCTAAACTTTGTGTTTTAAAATCTGTTCACGTGGCTATTAGAACACCTGATTGGTTTCCTTCTCACCACTTGGGATCTACTTTAATCTGAGGGTTGTTCTCACCAGGACACGCCACTGCCGTCAGTCTGAGTGTCCCAGACATGGTAATAGCTGGTGATTATCTCAGGTATTAACTTAACCCTAATTAGGTATTTAAACACTGCTGGGTGGCTTCTCTTCCTCTTCTAATTGAATCCACAAATTCCTGAGTCCCGTGCAAGACCTGTGTAGCGATGTGCAGGGACAGCTTGGCTGGGCTGCAGTGCACTGTGGACTCGAGGGAGCTGGTCAGTCACCCTCCTAGGTGTTCCTGGAAGTCAGGGGGTCGTCTTCTGATGGTGGTGATTTGGGGAGGGCTGGGGAGGCCTGCTCTTGTGTGCTGGAGCTAGACAGGCTTTTCCAGGTGGCAACTTCATGCACCATCCAAGTGAACGTCAAACATTTGTCAGTGGGGGTGGGTCTGTCTTTATTCACATTCTTGAAAGATCCCTGTGTCTGAAGGGCTCATTGTATTCCAGCTCCTTTCCCTGTTTACAGCTTGGGGGTGAGGGGGGCTGCTGGGGCCTTGGGACTTAACCCAGCGTTAGGACCATCAGTGAGGCTCTCTTTGGATCCAGATCTGTTCTTGGGACTTAACCCAACATTAGGGTGACAATGAGGCTCACCATGGAGCCAGGTCAGATCAGATGTCTGAGGTTTGCTCAGGCACAGCCTTCAGGAGCATGGGGCTTTGCCATGCAAGGTGCACAAGCTCTGGCTGGAAACAAAGCCCACCCATGGGTGCCACCCCTGCCTTGAGAAAGGTCCCGCAAGCCCAGGACCCACTGCCCACCAGGTGCCACCCCAGCGTAGGGGGCATAGTTCTATCTTTGAAACTAGGTTGCCCTCAGTTGGGGATGTATGATGGTACCCACACCTTTCAGGAACCTATAGCATTTTCAGAGCCTACTCTGTGCTCAGTTCAGCCAGGCGCCCTGTGACCTTGGCCCTCTGACCTTGGCTCTCCTTCTCCTGCAGGCTCGCTGACGTCCATGTTTGTCAGGCTGCCCTGTGGCGGTGTCGGGGTAAGTATTTCTTTAATGTGTAAATAATGTCCTGTTTGTTCTCAGCATCCCAGTGGTCACAGAAACCGCCGCCTCGCTCTCTGCCGAGTGGATAATGGCTGCCAGGTGTTTTCCATAAACGGGCTGGCGGCCGGGCTGCCCTGCCGCTCACACGTGTGGCTTCAAAGGCCCCGTGAGTCTGTGAGCATTTGATGGCTGGATTCGGGCACCTTCCTGGGGAGGGTCGTCTGGCACCGTGGCTTGCCTTAGGAAATGGGATCGGGTGTGCAGGCTGGTCTCCTTGCTGCAGAGCAAAGTTTGCTCGTTCCGATTCAGGTGGTGAAAACCCTGGTTGTCCCGATGTCCAAACCCAGGCCCCAATGAAGCTCAGACTGCAGAAGCCTGATGTTTAGGGGCCATTGACGTTCCAGAAGCTGCCAGTTTGGTGTGTTCACTGCTTTTCTAACTCTGACATGCTTTTAAGCAGATCAGATCAGGTCCGGGGGACACTTATGAGGACCTGAGTTTTAATGTGGGCACTGAATTAGGAGGATTTTCTGGTCTGGGTGTCAGCCTCCCTCAGTTCAGAGAAGGTGGGGTCTCCCCAACCAAAGCTTCTTTAATAAAGAAGGGACTCCCGGCCCACACCCACTTAGATGAGGGTGGGGACAAGAACAGAGCTGCAGTTTGAAAGTGAGACCAGGCCTCCTTCTGGCAATCTGCTGGCCCTGAGGTCCCAGCGACCCGGGAAATGACCAAGCGGACAACAAAGCTTTCGGGCTGAAACTGCGCAGCGGCGGGGTGTGCGTGTAATTACAGATCTCAGGGTGAAGCCCAAGGTCTGGATTCTGTTATGGAAATGAGACAAAATTGTTTTCTTCCTGAGTCTTTACAAAAATCACTGCTTTGAAAATTATCCCGTCAGAAAGGGAATCAGCGCATTTATTCATCCACCACCAAGCCCTCCTAGAGTTGTTTTATTCTGAATTGTAAGTAGGCTGCAATCTCTTAATTCGGGGCAAATTTCTGGCCAGACTTGAAAAGGTTTGGATTCGCACAGCCCTGCAGCTAGCACGGGGCAAGGCAGGACTTACAATTTGCAAATTGAAAGCTGAGTGGGACCTTGAGCCAGATACCCCTCCCCAGTGTGAGTCCAGACCTGACCGCAGGCTGACCAAGGCCCAGCTCAGGGGCCAGAGCCCAGCTCACACCCAGGCACAAGAGGCTCCCACGCTTGGGGACAAAAGTCCCAGCACATGGACTGGTAGAGGGGCGCCTGTAGGCTAATTAGGAGTGTGAACTGCAGGGTTTCTCTTTCCATTGTTTCCATAATTACTGAGTCGCTGGTGCAGCACAGTCCTCCTGGGCCTCAGCATCTCCTTCCAATACCAGGGTCCAGTCCCTAGAGGCTTCAGGAAGCACAGCCGACCTTAGGAGGCCAAGGGTGGGTGGGAACATTATGAAGCAATAAGAGAAGCTGCTCCCTTTTTCCTGAGTTGCTTTAAATTAGCATTTAGGTGTATAACTCATTCTTCCTTAACTGTATTATAGAGGCTAAGATGATTTACCTCTTTTCAACCCAGGTAAAAAATTGCTTTGCTCACCTCCTCGTTATTTGTAGGTTTCTCTTAGTGAGGACTTGATGAGTCCCCTGCCTGGTGGACTCTGGTGCTGAGTGATGTGCCCGTGCTCTGCACTCCTAAAGGGCCACCTCGGCTGTCCACCCCAGTCTCTGTGGAAAGTCTTCTCCACCCACTCTTCTCTTTGCATGCAGTGGGTCCTGCCCTGACTTAACAGGCACATTGCCGCTTCACTCTAAGCAGGGTGCCTCCTGATGGGCCCACTTGTCCAGGCTGCACTCCCTCCCCAGACCCTCATGCTTCTGGAACTTGGGGCTGAGGGCTGACCATCCCAGGCTTATCCACAGTTGAGTGGCCAGCACCTGGAGGACCAGCCCTGAAGTAGTGGAAGATCCTGGTATCCCACTGTGGGGTTAGGGGCTGTCCTTGGCTCTGGGTAGGATGGTACAGGACCCAGGGTGGACAGTGGGAAAGCAGAAGCCTTCGAAGTACATGGTGTGTGAATTCACTCCCTCCCCACACTGAGTTACTTAGCCCTAAAGCCTAAATCTTCACCTTAGAGAGAAATAGCCTGAGTGGTTTTGCCCAAACTGCCTTCAGTCCCTAGAGGAGCAGCCTTGGGCTGGCCTGCCCATGAAAGTGTCATCTTCCTGAAGACCCAGGCAGCTGGTGGTTACCTCCACTGGCTGTCAGTCAAGGGCTGTCACCTTTGATTTTATGAGGTGTTTCTGCAGCCAGGGCTGGGTGCAGATGGTTGTGTGAACAGCCCATCCGAGGACAGCAAAGCAGTGTGCCCTAGCTCAGAAGCCGGGCTTTGGAAGTTGAATATCAAAGCTGGGAGAGTTGGGGAAGTGCACAGCATTCCTTTGACACTTGGAAACTATTTAAAGAATATAGAGGTTTGGTCATTGGAAAGAATAACCCTTGAGAAGTAGCACTCATCAGACAGTGGCTCAAACCCCTCAGAAATGTACTTTACTCTAAAGCATCTGGCTTTGAAGATACAGCTTCAAGACTTCCTTGAAAGAAGTTCATCCACCCACATGAATAGTCAGTGTCGTAATCAGGTGGGCAAGAGCCTGTGCAGCACCAGGACACCCCTGCCAGGAGGGGTGGGCACAGGTTTGGCAGCAACATCTCAGTGTGCAGCTGCCTGGGCCTCTGTCTTTGGGGTCCAAAGCATCTGTGCTCGGAGGAGATGAATTTGGAGAGGAGAGTCCTCATTTAGACTTGCAGATGCTGTATTAAAGATAAACATGTTACTGCACAACTTCTCAGCATCTTCACTGGGCTGTGTCCCAAAATAGGGCATACAGTGTGTGTGGCCAAGGTACTTGTGGGTGGGGCACAGCGCCCAGGGGCTTTGTGCTTAATCCTGCCTCCCTCTTTCCCTGCTCTACAAGGAGACACTCTTCACAAAACTGCCTAAGTCTGTCTCCTTCTCTCCCAGCCTTAAAAAATCTAATATGCCTCAATAAATAAACCAATACACACCCAGAAATTTCTGAAATACCTGCACACAGTGGCAGTGAACAGGCAGACATGCCATCACCTGGGCAGAGCATGGCACAAAGTCCACCTGGAGACCCTCTTCCCCTCACCTCCACTCCATGCCTCCATTCCTGTAGAATTTATCAAGTATTTGGTGCTTCTAATTAAATTCTGCACAAATAAGGCAATAATTTGGAAAGACCTCTAATTCTTCTCACATTTCATTTTGCTAATTGTTAGTTTAACTCAACTGCAGTTGTAGTAAAAACAAACAGGAACTGACTAGGCAACCTTGACATCTGTACTCAGCTTTGAGTGAGTCGGAAGTTGAGAATACAGGGACACTCCAGCAGGGGCAAACCCAGACACACTAGTGTTGGTGCAGGCACTGTTCTTTTCTTGCTTAGGATTTTTGGCATGCCTTTGGCAAAAGGTAAGGCATGTTCTGTAATTGGTGAGGAAGAGACAGGCTCTGGGACAAGAGCCCACGGCACGGGTCTCACTGTTGGTCTTGTTTCCACAGGTGGACAGTGACACCATATGGAACGAGGTGCACTCGTCAGGGGCAGCCCGTCTGGCTGTGGGCTGTGTGGTGGAGCTGGTCTTCAAGGTGGCCACGGGGGAGCTGAAGGTCAGTGAGCACACAGCAGAGATGGGCTCCTAGCAGGAAACCTGCCTGGACATTTCTGGGGGTGGTGGACTTGGAGGGGAGAAAATAGCCATGTGACTCCCCCTCAAGACAGGCACAGTGAGGCACAAAGAGGGGACCTTGTTCTGAATCAAGAGGAACATTTCCTACATCTGTATAAACATATCACGTAGCTGTCCTCAAAGGTATGGGTCCTCAAGCACTATAGTCCTAGGAAGTATTGGAGCATCCCAAAAACTTTTGTGTGTATAAATTGTGTCATCAGCATGGACCATATTAGAGATGAAGCCGAGAAACTTCAAAAATATTTATAAATATCTGTCTGGCTCAGGAGGTCAGCTGGGTTCTCATAGCTACTTCTGTGTGCTCTCTGGTGATATGCTGTTTTGGTTGAAGTATATGAAGAAAGTCGATATCACACAGACACGGAATTGTGGAAAGGAGATATCTTAGTAGCTTTTTGAGGTAATTGTGGATATTCTTTGATGCTGCACCAAAATTTAGCAAGTGGAAGTCTCTTGAATTTAGTTGCAATGTGGCACCTGAAAATCCATTGGCCTGTCTCACACATTGAATAGATCCTGTGTCTGCACATGACATGGGTAACACTGGTCACTTGGAAATACGGGCTCATTGGGTGATGTAAGTCTTCTCAGCCTTGCCCATCTCCCTGCACAGTCAGCACTCAAGACTGTCTTCTGAGTGCCAGGAGGAGTGGTCATCCAGGTTCCCCGAACGTTGGCTTATTTTTACTTGAGCACTCGGATCTTAGTGCTAACGGCTACCACTTTCCCTGAGGTGACAGCTCACTTGGTTTATTTTTGAGGAAGTCCTATTCACTCAGTGTACACAGTGGTTTTCTGGCAGTGCTTTTGAGGAAAACTGGTGCTCCTGCAGAGAGCAGCCAGGCTTGGGTCAGCAGCAGAACTGCTCATACAGCCTCTAGCTTCTCCACGGGATGGGCATGTGTTCAGGGTTGAGAGTTGATGAAATTGATAAGTTTACTGCTTCATTGAGAACATTCTGCCATTTCCCCTGCAAACGTGTGGCAAAAATCCCACTGCATGTGGGTGCCTGAGTTCCAGCTATGACACTCTCAGTGGACCCACCAGTGTATCCACACAGTAGCCAGAACACTGGGAAAGGTTAGAGTCATTATAACAGCTGCTTCTGGAGGGGCACAGGCTCCCCAGGGTCTGTGGTCTGCACTCTGAACACCGCAACACAGAGTCCGTGTGCAGGGAGATGCTTCTGCACTACTGAGTGTATAGACTGACCATGAGCTTCCTGTTGCTGGTGAGAACAAGAAATGCTCAGGAAAACTATTTTTATATAGTGTATCATTCTGTACAGTGCACACATTCTGTACAATGTATACATCCTGTGCAGTGTATACAGCAGCTATAGAACGTCCTTTAAGTGGATGGTTTGTTAAAGCCTACCTGACCTAGGGGTCCTAATAGAAGGCCCGGGTGTTCAACTCCCATCAGCTTCTGAGACATTTCTTCCAGGTGCTGACGGGCCTGTTTTCCATGTGGTCCACTCCCCTGCACACTGAGCTGCAGCGATAATGACAGACCTGCATGTCAAGGCCAAACTGGGACATGATATCTGCCCCACAGCTGAGTCCCTTCCATTTCATCTACACTCAGGGACCCCATCAGGGTGCTTCCTGGAGAGTCCTGATCAGAGGTGGACTAAGGGTTCTCTCCATCCCTCCCACAATCTCACACTGAGCAGTGTCCACCCTGGCCAGCAGGCTGGCAAAGGTAGAAAGTCAGGAACGACTTTTCCTTAGTAACCACAATCGCCTGTAGACTAGCCATCTCAGCAATGCTGCAGTCAGCCCTTTATCCTGGTCCTATCTGAGCCCTGGGTTCTGCATAAATCCACATCCTCGGGTGTCCTCTGAGTCTGCTAACCATTCAGTCTGTGTGGTTTTCTCAACTGATGTGAAACCAATCTTTCTTCCCTGTTTTCCCCCAAATGTCTGGTATTGTGTGTAGAATGGCTTTGCTGTGGTCCGCCCTCCAGGACATCACGCAGAGGAGAGCACACCCATGTAAGTAGACACATGGCCCTGCAGGTGGGAGAGGGGCTGGTGTCTGACTCCTTAAAGGACTGAAGTTGCCACCTGCCAGCTCTCCTGTGATGTGGAATGTGCTTGCATGTATTCAGCACCAAATGTCCCCGATCTAGCATGAGTGACTAACCCAGCCATTTTGGAGTCAAAGGTCGACTTCGCTGATGAGTGTGATGAAAAGGTGAATTGGAAAATGAGAAGGAATGAAAGGAATCCACAGAATTAGTCTAGACAAGTCAGTTGTTAGTGTGATGCAAAAAATTGGGAGACGAGTCCATGTGGCCCGTCTTTGTTACTGAGCATTCAGGGTCAAACCCTCCACTTGTTTTCAGTATGACCTCTCAGGTAACTGCTTATGGTATAGTGATGATACAGCTGAAGTCCCAGCGTTAATGCCCTCATGGTCAGCTCTCTGACTTTATTCTGGGTTCTGGATTCCCCTGGCTGAGCACCTCTGAGGTGGTGGCTGAGGTGGTGCTTGTGGTGTATGGATTGTCCAATTCATCATGTTCGTGGAGAGCCAGTGACTGGTGCACACTCACCTGGGGCAAGGTCATAAGGACTGACTCAGGCTCAGGTGTTGTGCAGCGTGCCTCTGCTGCCTGCAGGGTGAGGTGCCATCTCTTTGGACTAGGAAACCATCCCAGTGAACACAGTGGCCTCCCCTGGCCAGGAGATAGCCCAGGTGAGTTAGGAGGAGGTGATGTTGGGGCTGTGCCTTGAAGAATGAGTCGTGGTATGTCACCTGGCAGATGGCACTGTCAGGTGCAGCCAGGAAGTGCAGGGTGGGCAACGCCCTTGTAAAGCTGCTAGACCACAGTGGGGCCACAGACTAATCCGTGATGCCCAGAGGAGCTCCTGTCATTTCCAGTCAGGAGTGAGGGGGTCAGAGCAGAGTTCCAGAAGGAATCATCTTTGTGTAGGAAGAAAGAGGTGGACATAGGTTGGAGTATTTGAAGCCTCATCTGAAAAGTTGCTTGCTGCCCCATGACCCAGAGCACTCACTCCAGGCCACCTGGGAGCAGGGCCTTGTCTCATTGTTCAGAGTGACTTCTTGCTTGAATCTCAGTGTTGGAAATTCTGAGTAAACAAATGGCTACAGTGGGTGACAGAGGGATGTTTTCAGTGCATTTCCTCCCCTGTGCACCAAGCTACAGCTGCACGTCCTAGGGGGCGGCTCCCAGACTGCAGCCTGGATTCCAGAAGCAAAACAGCAGGCCACTCGGTTCTGTGGGAATTCCACAAAGGTCAAAGGTCGACTTCACTGATGGGTGTGATGAAAGTCTTCTCAGGTTTAGACTGAGACGACTTTCATTTTTACTTGGGTCACTTTCTTAGCTTTTCTTACTCTCTTGAATAAGACTCTGGAATTACAGTCAGTCACTGGGGTGCCTGTATACATCATTGTCATATGTCTTAGAATGTAGGAAGATGGGCAGTGAGCAACTAAAATAGGTCACACGTCTGTGTTCTGTGACCCATGCTGTCTCTTGAGAGGCCAGTAAAGGGAAATATTGGTACAAAGTGAAATGGATTTTCTTACAGGGAGCCTGGCCGCCTGCACACAGGAGACTGGTCTGTCTGTCAGTCATAAGCATCAAGTAAGGTTCTCAGACTGCTTGATTAGAAATTGTACATTCACCAGACACTCTTAAACTCTTGATGGTTCTGTTGCAAGTTGTTAAAAACTGATCTAGCTTTGGGCAGTGTGGCTCAGTAGGTTGAGCGTCATCTGTGCACTGAAAGGTGGCCCTTTTGATTCCTGGGCAGGGCACTTACCCAGGTTGTGGGTTTGCTCCCCAGTAGGGGGTGTGCAGGAGGCAGCTCATGGATATTTACTTTTCTCACCGATTGTTTTTCCCTCTTCCTTCCTCTCTCTCTAAAAAAATCTCAAAAAGAAGAAACCCCACCTGATCAAAACCTGAATTTTTTTTCTCCGTTTCTCCTGATTCTTACCTGCAGGGGTTTCTGCTACTTCAACTCCGTGGCTGTTGCAGCCAGGCTTCTCCAGCAGAGGCTGAATGTGAGCAAGACGCTCATAGTGGACTGGGTAAGGGGCCTCCCTCCCCAAGGCAGGGCTGGGGGAGCTGTGATTCTTGCAGGAAGACTGTGTCCGATGTAGAGGGAGAAGGCAGGCATTTCTGCCTCTGGGGACTTTAGCTTCTGGAAACTCAAAGATTTAGAAAATAAAAGCCCAGACCTGTTACGGATCTATTTCATAATTTCAACAGCTGATCCTACCACTTCTCACAATCCCAGTGCCCCAAAGGGCAAGCTCTAGTTTAAAACGCTGTGACCTCTGAACTCCACAATCAGGGTCATGGGTTCTGGTACTGGAGGTGGACAGTCAAGGTGTTAATTTTTTTTTTTTTTTTTTTGCGGGGTGGGGGGGTGGGGGAGGGAGGAGTGTGGGGTATTCTCTTTAGTATTAATGATTAATTTTTTAAAATTTTAAGGAAAAAAATTAGATACACCAGGTAGGCGTATGATTTATAATGCAATGTCCTCTCACTTTGAATATAAGAAAAACTAAAACGCAACCCAGGATACCCGGCAAGCTCCCAGATGTGAACACTGGTCACGGAGGTCCAGGGGCACTTAGGTGGCTGAGGCTGCGTGATTTAGGTGGCCTCAGTGAAAACAGAATCACTGTCTGCAAGTGTTCCTGGCGCCTGTTCCCTGAGCGCTTAGTTGCTCCTAAGGGAATAACTAGAAATGCTGGGAGGCGACAAGCGCCACGTGATCTATAACAGCTCAACCAGATCATCAACGCAGGCAAGGCTGTAGCAATCCGCGAAAGTTGGTGACCTTCACGGAACCTTCAGAGAACCTCCCCAAGGCATGTGCTGCCGTGTCCCACAGGATACAGGTGGCGTGCACCTGCCGCCTGTCTGCGCAGAATCAGCGGTTCCTGGTGGCCTGACTATGTGTTTGTTTCTCACAACTTATGTACCGTGGTCCTATGTTTTCGATAATGAGCACAGATGACTTTTATAAAAGGAAAGTAACTAAGCAGTTCTCTGGTATTCCCAATCACTGACATGCAAGCAGCCCCTCAAGTGCACACTGGGTGAAGCAGGCCCCCCATCTCGGTGGCCTCATGGTCCTGGCCAAGGAAGTGGGGCCTAGGGCCTGGTGGAAGCCTGGCCACCCACTGTGATTAGGAGAAGTGGTTTGTCATTTAGTTTGGGACCTGGGCCCACAGTGCTTGTGCTTTGTGCACCTGCCACTCAGTCTGCGGGGTAGCTTCCCACCCCTTACCCCAGCGTCAGGCACAGAGCTGACACTTCTCATGTGCTCGGACATTAGCAGCCATGGTCAGAGGGAGGAGGAAGCTGCTCACTTTTCACAGACACAGCCAAGCAAAAAATTAATAAATTGCGGGGGTCCTCTGACTGACTTCTGAGCAGGAGGATGGCATTCCTATGAACTCAGTGGCCTGGCTGGGCTGCTAGGGGACTAAGCCTGGGAGATGTCCTGACTTGGCCCAGTACTGAGTCTGCTCTCGCTCTTCTTAGGATGTGCATCATGGAAATGGGACCCAGCAGGCCTTCTACAGCGACCCCAATGTTCTCTACATCTCACTGCACCGCTACGACGATGGCAACTTCTTCCCAGGAAGCGGGGCTCCTGACGAGGTACTTAGGGCCTCCTGTAGGTGTGCAGGACTTTGGGAGGAGGTCAAGGCAGGGCTACCCTGGAGACAGAGTGGATATCTGCACAGCAGAAGCAAGGGCTATCCACTCATGGAAACCCCAGAAGGTGACTTGAGGCAAGCATTGGCCTGAATTCCATCCCGTTGTGTACAGCAGCCTGATTTTTGTCTGATGTGTAAGTGAAGGCCTGGAGACTGTTTCCCACCCCAATCTAGGCTGACAGAGGTATTCCTGAGCAGGGAGCAGGGTGACCTTCTTCCTCCACGAATTACTGCTATGCAGGCCGTGCTCTTGTCCAGTCCCTCGGACAGGCTGACTGTGCTCTGCTTTCACCTGTGGTGCCACACAGTGGGTCCCAGAACAACAGGCTCAGAGCCTTCACGACACCTCAGCCCAGCCAAGCCTGTGGAAGCCCCGGCAGTGGGGAATCCCACCTAGGGAAACAGCTACTCCACCTCTGGATCTTATTTCCCGGAAGAAAGTTGATAGGGCAGCCTCATCTGCAGGCATTTCCTAGTGGCCCTCTGCTGGCCTGTGTCTGTCACTCAGTACAGAGCTGCAGGTCATCCAGGGCCCAGGGAAAGGGTGGCTCCCACTCACTCACAGGTCAGGTGGGCGGGGCGAGAGCCCCAAATTCTGTGAAAACATGCCATCATCAGAGTCAGCATGTCAAGGGTTGTAGGGACCAGGGACAGCTCATGAGGAGCACAGCCACAGCTCTGTTATGGGACCACTGGGTCTGTCTGTCAAGGGTCTGACACACGTTTCCTTCTCACAGGTGGGCACAGGGCCTGGCGTGGGCTTCAATGTCAACATGGCTTTCACTGGTGGCCTTGATCCCCCCATGGGAGATGCAGAGTACTTGGCAGCTTTCAGGTAACTGTCCTGGCTTCCTGTCCACGGGCATTTAGGGGCCTCGAGGAACTCCATCCCCTTGTCTCAGTTCCTGTTGACTTTGACCGTCACTTTCCTTCATAAGCACCCAGACCTGTCTCAGGAGGACCCTCCAGCATCCCCAGGATGCACCTTGCAGAGACAGATGTTTCTATCTTGCATGTGGAGGGACGATGCTCTGAGGCTCTAGGGCGTGGTCTCAGTTCCTCCTATAAGCTGAAGGTGGAATCTTTGAGGCTGTCTTCTGACCTTTGTCTGCAAAGCTCCAGGCTGTGCACTTTCGGTCCCAATAGTTCAGTGAAGAGATCAGGAGGTGCTGTATTAACGAAAAGTGGGTGCTCAAATCTGGAAGGCTGTGGTCTCCTGACTTAGCTTACAGAAACCTCTGTGAGAAGACGGTAGACAGAAAAGATCTTCCTCCTTTATTGATAAACTAGAGGGCCTCTCCATTCATGCACTTGCTTAGTGTTATTTTGGGCCCTAGAATTGAGCCTCAGTGTTTGCTTTTGTCATCAAGTGGTGATTTCTGCTTTGATCTGGGCCAGACTGAAGTAATTCCTATAGCGCAGGTGGCCTCTGTTGACTTTAAAATGGCAGATTGGGTAGCTCAGGGTGGGGCAGGGCCCTTGAGAGGAGGAGAGCTTTGTTCAATGGTGATATCTGACCATTTCAGAAAACCCAGGAGTTAGTGCCCTGGGGCATCTCCAGTGATTTTCCACCTCCTTCTCTGGAGGCTGAGATCCATTAAGGACAAATCTTGTGAAAGCTTTGCTGAGGATCTGCCTCGCATCCCAGTGAGACCTGCATGGGTCACAGGACCCTTCACAGCATCTGCTCACTCACCTCAGAACGGGATCTGAGTCCCCAGCACCTGTATGCGTGTGGGGGTCTGCAATGGAGAGGCCTTCCATCAGCCGCTCCAACAGCGGAATTGATCTGAAAAGGAGCCAGTTACCTCTTAAAAGACCTTCCCTGATTCACACTGAATTATTTTTTCTCCTGGCCTCATTGGTCTAATTTTGATGTTTCTTCTAACTCCATCAAATATCGTGGAATTTTTATAATTACCCTGCCTAATTTAAGAGAGAAGGAAGCCCCAAAACATCTAACAATTTTCTCATGTGCACAATTAAATATCAGCTTCATGAAATCTGAACCCGCGTGTCTTGCCCACCTGGGCGGTGGCTGCATGTGCATGGAACAGCCACTCGGCATCACTCCCCTCCTGCCTGAGAACCGGCCTTCTCAGGGGTTCCTTTGGAAATAGGTGTCCAGATGCCACCATGTGGGGTGTAAACAGTGCCCAAGTGAATATTGGTGCCACCCAGGGGACCAAGGCACAACACGGCCCAAACCGGGTGTAGGCAGAGAAGGTAAATCTTCCTTTAAACTGAAGCTTGAAGTAATAAGAACTAGGTAGTTCTCTCTTCTTTCAGACATTTTTCAGGCCAGGTTTGACTGGATTGGCCCTTGCAGCTTGTCAGTGCCCTGTGCACTCCGATCCTAGGCGGACGAGTCGGCACCTCTTCTGGCATTTCACTGGTGGTGGGCAGCCAGGCGGCCCTGGAAGTTGTCCCCCTCCCTGGGCCAGCCTTTAAGACGAACCTTTCCCTCGGAGTTCCTGTCGACATTCTGTTTTAATCTCCTGCCAAGTGTGTACATGATGATACCTTATCAAATGAGCTTTTTAAAGCTTAAATAACTTCTTTGAAAAGGAAAATTGTTTCAGTTTTTTTTATTTTATTGATTTTAATGTAAAATAGCACTTTGAAGTTTACAATTTATGGTTCCCTGGGCATTGATCTGAGGGGGAAGAGGGTCAGGATCCGTTTTCCCCTTTCTTCTGTGCTGCTCCCCTTGGGGCCCTGTGGACAGTGCGTGCCTCAGACGGAGCACCGTGTTCCTCAGACCCTGCCTGCCACATTGCATTTCAGGAGATCAAGCCTGCGATGAGGGGGAGATAAGAAAACTGCCCCTAATGAAATCCAGGAGCAGCGGTGCTTTCTCCTGGGGCGAGAGGCTTGTAGGAGAAAAGGGGGCCTAATTCAAACCAGTGGAGTGAGGCTTTGAAGTTAGCTGAGGACTTGGGCTGGAGGAGATAATGGTGCACTTTCCTTAACCCCTCGCTTACCTGCATCTGGCAGCCCAGCAGGTCCATCTATCAGCAGTGAGGAAGTGAAATCGGGATTGTCCATACTCTTGACATTGTGATTTGGATTTCATTGTGACATAGTGTCTGAGAGGCGTCAGGGACCTGCATATCCCAAAGTGGTAACTGCAGTGACCCAGCAATTGAACATCCGGGCAGGTTCACGTCGCCTTCCCTAGCCTTTCGGGCATGGAGTCAGGTTGAGGCACTTCTGAGTTTTGTTATATCCTTAAGGTGCGTTTTGCTTCTTTCTAACTTTTCTGTTGTGTTGAAATGTCCATGACATTCCGTGTTCTCTCCATGTCTCTAAATTTTACCTGAGGACATTCTGCGGTGATTTTAGAAGCAAAGAGATAAGCTAGAAATTCAGAATTGGGCAGTCTCGTGTTCAACTGCCCTGCCCTGGGCAGCGGGGATAGAACAGGTGATCCATGCAGTGCCTGCGCCCTCAGGTGACTCAGATAGGGACCACAGGGCTGCAGCAGGTGTATGTACCTGTGCCCACTCACAGGTATGCAGGAGTGAGCTGGCACGGGTGTCGGGGAATGGGGCTTTCCCACAGGAGCCGGTCAAGGCTGTGAGGCTGCCTTCAGGGAGCTGGACCGTGACTCTGACAGTGAGTATCCAGGGCTCTGTCCAGGTGACTAAGGTGGTGTGTTCTACATGTTTGACAGCTATCTCATGGCAATTTGGTGACAGAGCTGGTTCCAGGATGTGTGGACTGCCCTAGATCCCATGGACAAGCCCAGGAAAGCATGGCAACCCTGGCCAGAATGGGAACAGGGTGAGAAGGGCTATCTCAGAAAATGTTGGGTGATCAGACAGGGGACATGGGCTCAAGTGATGGTGGATGAGGGTGAAGATAGTGGGCAGAGAACCAGGAGGAACAAGTCTTGACTGGGCTGAAGGACAATACAGCAGGGTCAGTAAAGGATGTGTAGTAGGGTCAGTGGTATTTTAGCAGATTTCCAGGAAACAGCCAGAAAGTGTCCCTCTATTTGGCAGCTGGGAGGGGGCCACTGGTGACTCAGGGAAGATAGTCGGTAGAGGTTAAGACAGAATGTGCAAGAGTGAATGGGAGCTGGGGACAAGAAACAGCAAACACATTGTTCTTCTGAAGATCTGGGGGAGGAGACTGCCTAGTGGAGAATCTGGGGCTCTGCCCAGAGTGAGGCAGAGATCAAGGTCAGCTCCAAGCAGCAAAAGGGCCCTGGCAGTGGAGGTGGCCTTGAGGACATTGGCAGTGAGGCTGTGGGAATCATGAGGGAAAGATGCTGCATGGATCCGAGGCCTCCTTTTGTGGTGACTGGTGGAGTATGGAGAAGACTGTGGAGCAAGACATGGCAGGAGAGGCAGGGAGGGGAAGGGTGAGAATGGGTCAGATTCAAGAGGCCCAGTGGCCCAGGAAAGCATCCCTCCAATGCCCCAGAAGCTATAGGAGAGAGGGAAGGGTGTGCTCACTTCACCAGGATAACCCCAGGAGGTGAGGAGGCTGGGAGCAAACGGGCCCCCAGTCCCAGAGCATGAGTCAGGCAGCAGGCTCTGCAGGGGCAGGAGTGGGGGTAGAGAAGTGCAGGGGGAGCTCAGACCAGCCTCAGGGTCTAGCTGTGTTCTAGCTGTCTGTGCACCTTCTCTGGCCACCTTGCCTGTGGGCAGATGGGAGTAGGGCAAGGCTGTGGGCATCACCGCTGGTGGCAGCCAGGCCAAAGCAAATGGGTTCCCATAATTTCTATTCGTTCTGATTCTAACTCTCAGCAGAGTTTAAATATTTGATGAACAATTGCTCCAGTCACTGGCCCAATGGCTCTGATGCAAACATGGTTTTTGTGGCTCTCTCAAAAGATGGGACCCAAAGTCACAGCATATAATAAACTAGAGGCCCAGTGCACAAATTCATGCACAGGTGGGGTCCCTTGGCCTGGCTGGCGATCAGGGCCGGCCACCTGGGAGGAGGGATGGCAGGAGGTTGGCCGGCCGTGGGAGGTTGGCTGTGGGGGTGCACTGACCACCAGGGGGAAGCTCCTGCATTGAGCATCTTTCCCCTAGTGGTCAGTGCATGTCACAGTGACTGATAACTGGTTGTAATGGTCGCTTAGGCTTTTATATATATAGATGGAATTTTCAATCATCACAATGCTGATAGTTGAAGTAGTGCCATCAAATGAGGAGGGCAACCACTTCCTGTAAGATGGGGGTGAGGGTGGAGGGGTGTCTGTCTATTTGGCAACTGCTGCTCCTGGTCAGGCCTCTCCAGCACACAGGAACGTCCCAGCTGCAGACATGTGTTACACATCTTCAGGAAGCACATGCTACAGAAGGAAGACTGAGGAGAGCAAATAGCACTGGCAGCCCAAGTTTCCAGGCACCTCAAGAGAGGAGGCGTCTACAGACCCATCTATGTGGATGATGTTTCAGGGCACCTCCAAGGACAGATCAGCTAGGGCACAGGGGTAGTGTCGTGGCCCGATGGTTAACACAGCCCCGTACCTACTCAAGAGCATGTGCTTTGTGTAACAGACACCTCTTTGCGTTCACAGAATCTATGAACTTTGGTTACCATATACATCCCCATAGACACAATGAAACATGTTAAAATCAGGAACTGGCGCTGGGCATTGAATAGCATCACCATGGTTGTAATGACGGGTGAGGAGCAGGGGTTGGCAGAGTGGGGCCCTCGTTCCAAATCTACCATGTGTTTTAAGTAAAGTTTTACTGGGGCACAGTCATGCTAGTATGTTCACATGGTGTGCAGCTCACGCATGGCCATGTGCCCGCAGACTGAGAGCTAGCCAAGCCCATCCAGATCCTGTGTTTTGTTTCTTGAGCCTGATGGATGGTGCCCGAGATGTACACCCTGAGGCTAGTGCAGAGGTGCTTCCCGGGGAAGTTTATGAACTGCACTTGGCCTTGGAAAAGGGAATGCTGTTCAAAACCCAGCCTGGTTTGTCTGCTGTGACTCCAGTGTGAGGTTCCAGAGGCAAATTTCTTAGCTGCCAGTGCCTGTTTTTATGGCAGGCACTCAGTCCCAACTGGAGCAGATAAAAGCCACAAGGCACAGTCCATACTCTCCTCCAGGAAGCACTGGCTCGGGGTCCTTCAGCACTGGGTAGTGTATGTTCTTGGAGTAGGGCCAGGTACTCTGCAGCATGGGTCCTGCAGAGACCAGATGGCTTTTCAATGGAATTGAAATCCAGGGTAGTTCTGGAGTAGAGGAACATTTCATTTTGAGCATGTTTGTGTCCTTTGACAAAGTTGATACTTTATGGAGTTGACTTTGCTGACTTAAATGGCTACTTCATTCTGTAATAAAAGTCCTTGGACATGGTGTCCCCAGAGCTCTGCGTGGGGAAGGACCATGTGCCATGCCCAGTGTTTGTGACCTCCTCCTCCCGAGGGCCTCTGAAGCTCCAAGTGAAGGGAACCGGGACTCAGAGATAAGTTGCTGGGCGAGCTGCAGGAGCACCGAGCAGCCTTTGGTGCAGCAGAAACTGTTTGAGCTGCTCTGAAAAACAGACGGAGGAATTGTGAACACTGGACTTCTCCAGTGGGGCTGGCAACACGTCGACAGAGACTCCCAATGCATTTAGATTATCATGTCCTCCTCTGCCCACTTCAGGGGCATGCGCCCCAAGCACCTGTGATTCTGCCCACCTTATCTACAGAGGAAGGAAGGAAGTCTGAGAAACAAGCTTAAATGGCAGTACCACTGCTAAGCACATAGTTCTTCAATTAAAACACAAAGTACGTGTTTTAGGGACACACTGACCTAATTACACTGCAGGCTCCCAGGTGGTGGTTTTGTGTGTGTTTGTTTGTTTGTTTGTTTGTTTGTTTTTCTGTATTCAAGTAAATCTTTTTCCTTGTTTGCCTCATATAACTTAATCCCAAACCTCTCAGTGAGTGTGTGTATTTTTAACTATTAATTCTCTTTAATGTGACCATCAGTTTTCCTTTTAAAAATCTCAAGTGTAGAATTTCTTTTTAACTAACCCGATGCAGCACCGATGCAAGTGCGTGTATGATCATTTGTTGCTAACATGGCCCTCGGGGTGCGAAGAAGGAGGTAGGAGGGCTCCCTCAGGGCCAGCGCTGCTGAAGGGCTCTCTCACCTCCTCAGCCACACGGCCCTGTGTCCCTGATGCTGAGGGCATGGCTGTGCCCATCTTAAATCGAATCAGAGCCAGTGTAAGGTGAGCAGAGCAGTCCACACCTTTGAAGAGAACCCTTAGCAGCCCTGGTACCTGGCTCCACTTCCCCATGTTGGTGCAACTCAGGGTTACAGACCACCTCCATGGTCTGCAGAGAAAGCCTCCTACAAAACCAGTGCATAGCTGGCTCTAAGCATTCGTACAAGGCCTTGTTGGTTGGGACTTTTTAGGTACTGTGAAATCTAACTCTCAGCTGTCAGATTCCAGCTTCCATGAGAGCCCTCAGCCCACTAACCTTGAGGGGAACTGTGGCAGGTACGTTCAGTGACCAAGAGCCCTCCCCATCTGTGTCCCCGCTGTCTCAGTGTCACCTTCTCCTGCCCTTTTCAGAATGGTGGTCATGCCAATCGCAAACGAGTTTGCCCCGGATGTGGTGCTGGTGTCAGCAGGCTTCGACGCCGTGGAGGGCCACCCCACACCTCTGGGCGGCTACAACCTCTCTGCCAAATGTAAGTCGGGTTTTCAGGAGCTTAATGGGACCTGCTGTCTCTATGGCCAGCTGTGCCGTATCTCACATCTCCCCTTCAGTGACATTTCCAGAGACATTACAGTGTGGGCAGCCCCAGAAAAACAATGGGGGCAGCAGGATGGTGCGGACCAGGAGGCCACAGGCCCTCCCCCCTGGAGGTCATCCAACAGTGCTGACCTGGGGGGCTCGTGCTCAGCTGGCACATGCCGGCCACTCTAAGGGCTGGGTCTCCAGTCCGGCTGAGAGCTGGTGTGGTCACTCACCTTGAGGGCAGGAACAGACCCTAAAGCCTATGAGGGGGTAGCTGAGAGAAGGTTCAGTTCAGAGTTGGAGGGAGGAGGGAGCCCCAGATTATGGGCTCGCCTAAGGATTTGCATTAGATGAAGGCCCTGCTTCCATTATGGGAGGGAGTCCTGTAAAAAAGCCCTCCCACAGGTTGGGGCCTCTGCTTCTGTCGTCACAGCAAGTCACGTCAGAGACCTACTGGCGTGGAGCCTTGATCCACAGAAAGATCCTGGGCACCCTCAACCCTGCCTGGCCACCACCACCACCACCAGTCCCCTGCTGCAGTGGTCACAGCAATGTAGATCCTGGGACTCTATCAGGACACCCTGGGGGCCCCTCGTGCTAACCCCATGGGTGCAGATGGCCAAGGAGAGCCTGTCGTCTCTCCCCTCCCACAGGGAGAGTGTGGATCACCAGAGAAGAAAGAGGTCAAACTAAGGGCTAAACTGGCAAAGCCGTGTCCCAGTATGGGGCTCCTCAGATCCATCTGAACCCGGGCAGTCTGGTTTAGTGGCGAGGAAGTGACCAGTGTGGCATGAGAGATTAACCATCAGAGATTAACCAGGGCTTTGGGAGGTTACAGTGCCCATGGCTGCTAGCGTGGGGTCGGGTCTGCTGATGGCCACCTGGCAGTGGGCATGCTGACCAGTTTGGCATGTTTTCACAGGCTCTTTAATAAATGTCAGGCTGTTCTGGCCGAGGGTGGTAATTATCATTACCCATCACGTTTCTGCCTGTGGGAGGGTGACGTGGGTGCAATGGAGGGAACATGGCTATTGATGAAAGCCAGACACTCCAGATGCAGATGTCAGAGTCCTAGAAGGGCACACGCAGCATTGACGTGTGTGCCGGAGTGTGTGTTCATGCATGTGCCCAGCACACCCCCAACCAGAACCTTTGGCCTAGGGATGGACATGGCCATGCCGCCAAGGCTGCCCACAGCTGCCCTGCTCCAGGCACCCTGTCTCCTGGCCTCTGGTCCCCACGTGAGAGAGCCTGGAGGCTCCTCCTGAGGCCCATCCCTACCCCCCAAACGAGGTGATTTGCAGCATTTTGAAATCAAAGCACTGAAACCGTAATTCCTGCTCTCACACAGATCAAACAGGATCCCAAACCGAATTCCTCGATGAATTTATTGTGATCGAACCTGGCTTCCATTATGAGCCGCAGTGTGCCAGCCCCCTGGGTCTATAATGTGATGTAATGCACTTCTGGACGCTTTGATCTGCTGCCAGCGTCAGCCCCGCACCCTCCCTGCACCCGCCCTGCCCTCTACTTGTATCTCCCTTTTCCCATTGCAGGTTTCGGGTACCTGACGAAGCAGCTGATGGGCTTGGCTGGTGGCCGGATAGTTCTGGCCCTGGAGGGGGGCCACGACCTCACGGCCATTTGTGACGCCTCGGAAGCATGTGTTTCTGCTTTGCTGGGAAACGAGGTAGGAGGCCTGGAGGCCTATGGTTGTTGCATGCAGGCTCCAGGCCCAGACCTGTATGGGCCACTTCACTTGCTTCCCACTCGGTGTTTGATGTCCCCTTTACCCCCACTCAGGCAACATGTCTGACAAAACTGCTTGATTATGGCCACAGGGAGGTGAGCAAAAGGATCATCAAGAACCCTTCATCTTAAAAACGTAGTTTAGGGTCCTATGTTTTGAAGGGGCTCACCTTTATGTGTGGGTCACCTGGAGGGGGCTCTCAGTTTCCTCCTTCAGCAACCGTCAGTTCCCCAGAGGTTCTAAGGAAGGTTCCAGGAGTTGGCATCTCTCTGCGAGTCTCGGGCCCTGGGTGAGAGGCCTCTGCCTCCTGGGCTCACAGACACCCAGGTCTGGCTCTGCACAGTGTCCTCAGAGGCTCAGGACACAGTCAGGGAGACACATTAGCTGGACCAAAGGGGCTCAAGGGATCTGGACCAGGGGAGGCAACTTCCGAGGCTGGAGGAGAGCCACTGTGCGTGCTGTACTCCAGGCTGACCTGGACCAGAGGAGGGCAGGCTGGTGGGAGGGAAATGCCTCCAGGGATGCCTAGCCCACTGAGTGGCCACACTTCCTGAAACTTTAAGTCCACCCACAGGCCTTTGGATATGGGGCCACAACTCTGTCCCCTGAGCCCATCAGAGGTTCATGGAGCGGGTTCAAGATCCCCCAAGTGTAGCTTCTCTTGTTGCTTTGACGTCTCACGTTGGTCCTAGAGATGAGCTGGCTGGTATTTGGGGAGCTCGGGTGAGTGCCCTAGATTAGAGGCCCAACCACACAGAGAGGTGCCAGGGCCCCTGCTCTCATGCCGTCCCATCCCCTGGGACTCATCTCCCTTACCCATTAGACAGGGTGACTGAGCACATTCCTCAGTCAGGTCAGGGCTACCTGGTGTTCAGTCAGGGGGCCATCATCTCCACAGCTATCCTCCTGCTCGTCAACACCAGGAGCGCAAGGCTTCAGTTAAGGCCCATCTTGGGTGTGGCACCCTCACAAGTTCATTGCTCAGTGGGGCTCCGTCTCCAGCTTCTGACCTGTGGGCGGAGTGTCCGAGAGGCATCCTCCAGGAGGCAGTCACTGGGAGCCCGCCCTGGCCGGTCCTGAGGCTTCCCTTAGACCCACCCACCCCGCGTCCCCCTGAAACACAGCTGACAGGGCCTACGAGGAATGTGGGAAGATGCAGAGGGGGGCTTCGAGCAGGTGCTGAAAACGCCATATTGAACTTGACTGCATCCGCCAGACTGGGGAGATGGCCAGTTGTAGTGAAGTCTCCTGTGATGTGAGGTAGCACTCTGTCCTGGAGCTGTTCCCAGTCCACATTGTTCCCTGTGACTTGTATGAACTGACAGAAGGTAGGCTGTGGGCAGGAGGAGGAGGCATATGGCCAGTGTCCTGCCAGGTTCATGTGGGACAGAGATGACAGGTGTCATGTGGAAGCAAAGGTGAGGTATCACCCAGGTCCGGTCCTCAGCCAGCTGAGTGTGACAATGACCTGATGTGGGGTTGGGTCCATAGGAAGCTGTGTGTATCCTCCCTGTGAGATGGCCCGCAGAGGAGAGCCAGGCCAGGTGCCTTGGGGAGTGGGCACCTGGGAGGAAGGCCATAGCTCTGTCTGCCCCTCTCGAAGAACATTCCTGAGGAGGGTGGACTGAGTGAGCACCATCCTTGGGGTGGGAGGATGTTGAACCCATTCTGTGAACCTCTGGAGGGCTCGGAACAGAGGTGTGGCCCCATATTCAGCATGCTTCCTAGGGCTGCAGTTGTGGTGGGGGTGCTCAGGGCTGGAGGAGAGAGGAGTGTGGTCCCAGCTCCTAAAGGCACTGTGGCACTCCAGCTAGCCCCCATGCCCTGGCCATCTTGTTGTTGTGGACGGTGTTCATTTTAAGCCAGGTCACAGGTCCTGGTGGCACCCCATGTCTAGTCAGCTAGTTAGCGATACGCTTGAATATTCCCAAATAAAATGCCAGTGTGCTTTTTAAAGTGCTCATAGAATTTCACCTAGCCTTTCTTCACATAAAACAATATCCCTTTCCAGCTAAAGTTAAAAGGCAACTGACTTATGTATTTAAACCATCCCAAACCTTTTTGATTCTTCAAGTTATTTTAAAATAATAGTAAAGAACTGAGCTTTCAATAAGGCCTTTCCCTGCTTCCTGCTTCACTCTTCTGACAAGAAAATGTTCCTTTACTTACACACATCAAAAAGCAGGAAACACTGGTTTATCAAGGTCTCTTAAAAATATTTTTAATGCAAGAAAGTTGGACGGAACCCCACTTCTCTGCCCTGCGGCCTTTGAAGTGGATTGTTCTATGGCGTGTTGGACGACTTGGTGCACACAAGGGGCAGCCAGCTGTGGCCAACATAGCCACCTGGTGGTGTGGCTCCAGGGGAGAGAGGCAGGAACAGAGCCTACAATAGGAGACCCGCACTATGCCGAGGTCTGCGTTGCTCCCAAGAGCCATTTCATTGAACAGTTTTGACTTTTTTTGCAACTATTGGTGACAACTGACCTTGAAAACTCAAACGTTTTGCAGGAGCAGTGTAAATGGAGGTTCAGAGAGTCCAGCAAGTCGGGGGCTAAGATGAGCAGTGAGGGCCCATCATTTCTCATGTCATCCCAAAGGCAGCGTTTGGTTTAAACCAATTTCTGATTAATTATGTGGCATATCAGGGATCAATGCCATCATTTCATTCAACCCAACTCCGAGATCAATGAAGGAATTCAGAGGATAAGGTGGAGCCGCAGTGTTGGGAGAAAAGGCTTTCATTGGAAATTTAGCAACTGTGTTATGTTGTTACACTTTAGGAAAGGTGTGGCTGTGACAAAACACAGTGATTACAAACAGCTGTGTGTGTAAGAGGCGGACACAGAGACACTGAGTCCACTCAGTCTGGGAGCCAATTATCTGCTTTTATTTTTTATTTATTTTTTTTAAATATATTTTATTGATTTTGTACAGAGAGGAAGGGAGAGAGATAGAGAGCTAGAAACATCGATGAGAGAGAGTCATCGATCAGCTGTCTCTTGCACACCCCCTACTGGGGATATGCCCGCAACCAAGGTACATGCCCTTGACCGGAATCGAACCCGGGACCCTTCAGTCCCCAAGCCGACGCTCTATCCATTGAGCCAAACCGGTCTCGGCCGATTATCTGCTTTTAGTCGGCCATCTCCCCCTCACTCACACATGCTCATACTCACACTCATAGGCATGCTTGCACATGCTCACACAATCATGCATACACACACTCGCAGTCATGTTTATGCCATACTTACAAATGCGCACACTTGCACAGTCATGCTTGTACTCACTCTCAGCTATACTTATTTATACTCACCATCATGCTTACACATGCTCACACTCCCAGCCAGGGTCACCTCCTGCCAGCAGTGGCCGTAGTTTCAGCTGTGTGCAGGCCCATGTGGGGGGCACAGGCCCCAGTGCATGTGTGTCTGCTTTAGGGCAGTGCATGCCTGTCTGTCCACTTAGAAGGTGGGCCCTCACCTATCCTTCACGTACAGACCATCCTCCTCACCCTAGTCATTGTCACAGAAGGATGTAGGGAAACAGTGACAGTTGGCCCTCCCAGGCCCCCTTTGTAAAATGGGTAAGAAACTCATCCTCGTTGCCAGCCACCTAGCTCAGCAAAAGCGTAGCTCACAGTCAAGAGTGGATGCCATCTTGGGCCCTGTCCCCCCTTGCTCAGCAGGTTCAGTATTTCTAGCACTGACTGCCAAGCTCCCACTGTGGAGCCCTAACAGCAAGAAACTCTTGTGTTCACAGCACTCAGCTTTGGTGACTGATTTTTTTTTTTTTTTAAGAGAGAAATAGAGAAGGAAAGAAAGATAGAAACATTAGTGATAGGAGAGAATCATTGATCGTCCATCTCCTACATATCCTCCACTGGGGATCAAGCCCGCAACCCAAGCATGTGCCTTAACTAGGAATCAAACCATTACCTCCTATAGGTTGATGCTCACCCACTGAGCCATGCCAGTGGGCTGATTTTTTTTAATATCTCATTCTCTTCCAAGAGGATTTGGCAACTATAAAAATATGAGACAGGAGAGCCAGGAAGCCAGGCTGGAACATGAGGGGGAGATGAGTTGCTCTGGCCCTAGGTCAGTCCAAGGACACGGGACAACCTTGCCTGCACTGTTCCCTCCACACCTCTTCCCCTACTCAGGGAGGGAGTGGTAGGGCTTTCTGAGCATTTGGTTACTGAAGAAGAGCCGCCACATGGCACACCAGTGTCTCCAGCATGTTAGGATGGCATATCACCCACTGGTCTAGTTTCTAAGCACAGTGACTGAGGCCTCCAAGCCTGAGCTGATTGGGAGTGTGAGCTTCGTGTTCTCTGCAACACATCCCCCAAATCTCCCACAGAGGAAGAATGGGGAAGGGGTGCACTCACCCCTGAAGGCATCACCCTGCCACTCTGCAGGTGACAGGACCCACCTAGGAAGAGCAGGCCTGGGCCTCTACCACAGGTCTCCCAAGAAACTAGCCTCTCCCAGCCAATGTCGCTCATGGTTGAGCATCGACCCATGCACCAAGAGGTCTCTGGTTTGATTCCCTGTCAGGCATGTGCTCAGGTTGTGGGTTCAATCCCCAGCAGGTGTACAAAGGCAGCTAATCCATGTTTCTATCTCTCTCTCCTTCCTCTCTCTCTAAAAATCAATAAAAAACATATTTAAAAAAGAAGAAGAAGAAAAGGAAAGATCCCGGCCAGTGTTGCTCAGTGGTTGAGTCACCCATGAATCAGGTCACAGTTTGATTTCCAGTCAAGGGCACATGGACTTGATTCCCAGTGGGGGGTGTGCAGGGGGCAGCCAATCGGTGATTCTCTGTCATCACTGATGTTTCTATTTCTCCCTCTCTGAAATCAATAAAAACATTAAAAAAAAAAAAAAAAGAAAAAAAAAGAAAAGAAAAGAAAAAGAAACTAGCCTCTTTCTGAC